ATGGCAGAGGAGACCTGCCCCCTGTCCTTCCTCTGGGTGCCTGCCTTTGGCTGCCCCCCACCCACCTCACCCCTGTCACCCCGCCCCGCCCCCCCACTGCACGTTCTCCTGCTTTCCTTTCTGGTGGCTGGAGGCTGGGTGTAGGGCCCTCTGGGAAACCTGTCAGCTGTGTCTTTGGAGACTTTGGTTTGGTGAGGATGGAAGGGGTAGTGCTTCTTGCCTGGGGCTTCTTCCCAGCCCTTTTAAGAAGCCTCAGACAGACAAGGATTTAGAAGGCAGCCACTTTATTTTGAGGGACATAGGGCACTTCTGGATATAAGCCTTGCATGCACACACATCAGGGATGACATGTCACTTCTTCCCAAAGCGCTGAGGGGCAGCCAGGCTCCAGAACTGGGAGCTCAGCCCCTCTCCAGCCCGGGAACTCAGCCGTTCATTGCTCCAGGCCCTCCGGGTGTTTCTACCAAACCTTTAGGAGAGATGCATCCTCAGACATAGGTCCCTTCAGTCTTTCCCCTCTCCTGCCCCCTTCCTTTTCCTCTTCTGTCCCCTGCCCTTTCCACCCTCAGCCCCTGCCAAGCTTGTGGGCCTTTCAGACTCACCTCTGGGGCTGAAACAGGAAGGCTGGGCTCCGGCCAGGTCTCTCCAGGGCCTGCAGCAGGGAGCGCAAGAGGGACCCAGGGGTCTGGGCGTCCTGAGGTGGGCGGGGTCCATTGTCTTCCTCCTAGGGCAGGACCATCAGGGAAGGGAGATGGGTGAATGCCTGGACTTTTAAGTCACAAGGGGAAGGGAGTGAATGCTGGGGACAAGTTGTTGGAGACTGAGGAGGAGCCATTTCCTCCAACGGGAAGTACTAAGACCTTGGCAGTCTGAGGGTATCTGAATCTCAGCAGGAGTCTGAACTGTGGTAGGGGAAAATGGGGATATAGGGATGGGGTGCTCACCATGAAGATCTGATCTTCATCCTGGCCCCCTGGTCCTTTGGCAAGACCCCAGTCCGCTAACAGCAGCACCACCAGCAGCACAGCTGCCCGCCCAGAATCCATGCTGCCACTCGCCTTCCACAGCCACCGGCTTCTTATACCTGCTGCCCCCACCCCCAGCAGCCTGAGGGGGAGTCTAGAGCAGGCAATGGAAATGCACCGCTCCATTAAGAGCCACCTGGGATCCCCTCCCATGGCCCCCTCGGGACATCCTGCTCTCAGCCTCCGGCCCCCAGCCCCTAAGCCTGGAGTTATAGACGTTATTAGATGCATAAATCCTGTCTCCAGAGCTCGGGAAACATCATTAATTGCAGATGCTTTGTCAGAGCCAGGCCCTGGGGGGCTTACAAGAACCCCAATCCCTCAACAGGTTGGAGAGCTTCAATTGATCACCTCCCCTCTTTCCTAACTTATAGACAAAAGCACAGAGAAACTCCTGTCAGGAGGGGCTGGGCATCATGTCCTGGATGGAGGCATGAACGGCCAGGGTCAGAGCTGGCCGGGATGACAGCCCATTTGCTCCCCTGATGGGGGTCAGCAGTCAGGATCACACAGCCCATTCACACCCCTGTGGACGTGCTCTGGAGGGGGATTACACATGGAATCTCTACTGAGGTGCACCTGCAGATAGGAAAGAGATACAGAAAGTGTCTACAAGGGTTTTGGAGCCCACAGAGGAGTGGCTTCAAAGCGTTCTAGTCAGCCCCATCTTCACTAGAGAGCACAGCGTTGGCCTTGCCTGGTGCCCTCCCTGCAGTGCCCTTCACAGCTGAGGTGCTGCTGCCACCCTGTGGTCATAGCTGCTCATTGCCGGGCCCAGCCATTTCCGTTCTCCGCAGCCTGGGAGGGAGGGTGAGGCAACACGGAGGTCCTGAGACCCCACTCAGGGGGGGCCCTAGGAGGGCAGCAGCAGGACTCCGTGGGCTGGGCTACAGGTCATCCCACCTCCCTCTCAGCACAGCCTCTGCCTGGCCCAGGCTCTCACATGTTGGGCTGGACTGGAAAAGACCAAATCACTACTCAGTCAGGGGCCCTTTGAAATCTGGTGCGGCTTCCTTCTAACCCTAGGTTCCTTCCCGAGTCCCGGCTTGTGCAGCCCACGTTGACGTGGTGCGTGATGTAAGGTGCTTTGCCTCAGCCTGAGGCAAGCTATGGCCCTCTCTGAACCTCACTGACGTCGCTTACAATGTGGGGACCCTGGAAGGAACTATCTTTTGTGGTCTGTTCAGCCTGGGGTCTGGTGTGGAGCCAGTATGGTCAAAACGTCAGTTGTGAGGACCTGGCACTCCCCAAGTCCCGGGGAACTTACCGTCTGCTGAGCCGGTCTTTGGAAGGGCTGGTCTCCTTGTGGCTCCCATCAGGGGTCTTAGTTTGCTCCACTGAGCCTCACAGAACATCTCTCCTCTCTTTCTTATGTAAAAACACTCCACGTGTTTGAAGGTAGATATAACTCTTCCACTCTAGTCTTTAAGTAAGGCATCTGGGAGCCAACTTACACTTCAGTATACGGGGTAGGACAGGTTTTGACCTGGATGTTCTTGACACTGCATCGCTGCTAGTGCAGTCTAAGCTAGGGTGCACCTTTTCCTTTTTCGTAACCGGTTTCCTGTTTGGTCCCACACACGAAACAAAACGTCTCAGCTTACCACCTTGTAAAAGGGAACATCAAGCGCATAGGTAGACAGCTCTTCTGTGGAAAGTGGTTCCCGCATCATCTTGTGCTTTGTCCCAATCTGATGAAGTCCAGAGGAACAGGGTTGTGAGGACAGGTGGGACATTCCCAAGAGTGGTTTTGGGCCAGACAGAACCAGTTGTTTTTGTTTAATTTTTTTTTTATTTAACTTTATGTTAAATGTTATGTATGTATTTATTTTTGGAGAGGTTTTTGTTATAGGGTTCATGTGTTTGCCAGAAAGACAGAGAGCAACAGAAAGTGAGAAATCACAATGGCCATGTCACAATCCCTTCTCCTCCATTCTTCTCTCAGGATCTTGAGCACACACGCACATGTGCCTGGCATGAGTTTGAGCCACTGGGTCTGGGACTCGAACTGTGGTCAACTACATGGGAGCCCAGCGACATAGCCATACACCAACTGCTGGACCCATTTTATTTTTAATTTTGACCAGAGAGGGACAGAGTGAGAGAAAGAGAAAGTGAGAATGCAAGCCGCCAGGTCTGGGACTTGAACCATGGTCAGCCATGTGGAAGTCCAGCACCCTTAACCATCACGCCACCTGCCATCCCTATTTGTTTAATCCGTTACAGGGTGCACACACTTGCCAAAAAGAGACAGAGGGCAAGTGAAGAAGCACCCTCTGGGGGATATGGCCACATCGCAACTCCTCCTCCTCCACTCTCCTCTTGGGATTTTGCAACACACATATGTACACCTGGTATGTTCTCAAGCTGCTGGGTTCAGGACTTGAATCATATCATCAGCAACATGGGATCCAGCCACTTTAGTCACCAAGTCACATGCCCTGTCTCCAGAGTCCCAGTCCTACCTCTAAAACCTCCCAACCGTGGCTTTGGTACGTGGCTTTCAGCAACATCATTTCTTACCCTTCCCTGGACCCTCATATGCTCCTGACCACACAAAATCAAGACCAGCACTGTCTTTCCCATTTCCTAAGTAGGCTCAGGCTCCCTATTTATGTCAGTGTCTACCAAACACCAGCCACAAACAGCTTCTTAAATAATTTCTTGCCAACTGGGAAACCTCAGAGGCACCTATCTCTTGTCAAGTTCCTTAGCCTGGCTCACAGTTCTCACTTGTGAGATAATGCTCACAGAGGAATACACTAATGTAAGAATTATTGGGGGCCGGCAGGTGGCTTGGGTTAGGGGGCACTTGACTCCCACACAGCCAACTGTGGGAGTTGCTTTCTCACCACCCTTATTCCTCTCTGGTCAAATTAAAATAAGTAAATAAATAAAAATATTATTTCAAAAATTTAAAACAATATAGAGAATTAAGGATTCTCCTCTGCTGCTTCATTACTCCCCATTGTCTCTGGGCATTCATTACCTGTTTTTCTTGCCAACTCTTGCTTGCTTCTAAGCAAACTCCAATCATTTCCAGACCAACCTCCTCATCCTCACCATAGGAAAGCTTCAGTTTCAGCATGGAGGTTAAGCCGCTGGGTCCCATGTGGGTGCAGGTGCAACTGGAGTTCTGGACCTGGAAGCTTAACAATCATGCCAGATGCATGTGTGTGCCCAAAATCCTGAGAGGAGAATGGAGGAGAAGGGATTGTGGTGTGGCCATTTCCCCAGGGAGGGGCTCGCTTGTTCTCTCGCTCTGGCAAGTGTATGCCCCTATAGCAGAAACATACGCCTTTGTTGACATGCTTCACTTTCTGTGTCCAGGTGTGCACACGCCAGGCATGCTTGAGAATAGGGCTTGTTTTGATTTGTTTTCTTAATTGCTGGGTGGGGGGAGTAGGGACAAAACACTAAAAAATAGGCCACTTGCTTTCAGACATGCTTCCATGACCCCTCCACACAGAGCACACACTAGGTTCTGTGCTGAATGCTCCCGTGACTCCAAGGCAGTTGCAGATCTGAGTTCTGATCTGTGTGCCTTCTTGTTATGCTATGTGATTTACAGAAATGACCCACCTTCTCTAGGCTGGCTGTCCCCTGTATAAAAAGTAAGGACAAGAATCCCTGCTCCTTCTGACCTAACAAATGTGAGTGAGGAAGGTCAAAGACATGAAAGCCCGGTGAGTTCCCAGGAGAGTGGACAATGTGTCTTGAAGATGAGAAGAGTGAAGCATCAGACGTCCAGTGATTCTCTTGATAGTTTAATGTTGTATTTGCAGCATAAATAAGGCACAATATATGTCAGGGTGGGGGGAGGCATGGCTGGGGGAGGGCGATTGCTAAGTGGCAAGGGGGAAGGAAGAAGGGACGGTTAGGGAAAATAGAGCTAAGCCCCTGCCTCAGCCCCGTCCCGGAAGGTTGTGAGAGCCTGCTCACAGGGGTCATGCTGAACTGGAAGGAGGGCAAAAGGGAAAAGACGGTTTTGTAACAAAATAGCCTGTAGCACTGCATCCTCCCCCCTTGTCAAAGTCCACCACTGAGGACTGGGGTGACCCAGACCCAGAGTCAAGTTCCTTGATGAGATGGAGAGGTGTTACTACATGTCAAAAATATATAGATGAACAGAGATATAATCATAGATACACACTGCTTCCTTCCCAACAGATACTATGTCAGGATGCAGCAGCCTCCGCTGTGGGGCTGGAGGCTCATCTCCTCCCTGTGTACAAGGTGTGTGTGTGCTGAGAGGAACGGGTCAGCGGAAGCTCGGTCCTTAACCTAACAAAGGATGTGGAGTGACCAGCCTACAGGGGGATATGGGACAACTCCTGTCCACACTGACGCAGGGACAAGACTAGAGAAAGACAAACCTAGATTTTGAGATGAGTGACACGGTGTTCTTTTAGTGGGAATGGAGGGAAGGACTGGAGAGAAATGGAAAAATATGTTAGCGCTAAGGCAGAGGATGGTGTGTAAGATATCCTCAACACCCTGCGGGAATTTCCCTAAAGCGATGGTTCTCAAACTCTAGTGTGCGTTAGCATCACCTGGAGTGCTTGTTAAAGACCACCTCTGTTCTGTTCCGGCTTCCGCAGGTCTGGGGTGTGCCCGAGACTGTGCATCTCTAACAAGCTCCCAGGTGATGGTGGTGCTGTTTATCCTGGACCATGTTCTGAGAACCATAGCCCTAAGGGAAAGCTGAGGCAACGGGTGCTCGGAGCCGCTTCCTGCAGCGCAGACAGCCCTCATCGGCGGCCAGTGCTGCTGAGATACTGCGTGCTACCAGCCCCGTTACAAAGGTAAAACTAGCCCAAGGAGCTGCAACACAGACCTGTACCCATACCGGACAAACTGCCTTAACCTGCCCTCCACCTCTCCCCAGCCTCTCGTCTCGGGTAGAACTTGACCCCAGAGAGAGACAGTCCAACCGGTACAGGGTGGGGATGTAGACGGCCAGCAATTATCTACGCTCACTCCTGCTGGGTCACACCCTGGGGTGGGGACTTAGTCTGTGCGTGTGTGTATGTGTGTGTGCAGAAAGAGAGATCAGTTCTATACGATGAGAGGGATGATGAAGGCTGTGAGAGGCCAGGGGCGAGGGGGTCCTCTGATTACCTGTCCTGTTCCTCCACATGGTTCCAACCCATCAAACATAATTACAAAGAAAACAGAAAGAGCATATCAACAAAGACATATGTGATACAGTGAGGAGGACTGGGATCTAAACAGATTGGTTATGCAGCTAAAAAAAATTTCCTTCCTGTATATACAATGTACAGTATTAATGAAAAATAATGATTTGGGGATGGGAAAGAAGTTGTGAAAGAAAGGGAACATTTTGGTGGCTAGAGCTGTCTCAGGGGCTAGCACCTTTAGGGAGCCTCTCAGTGTGGAACCCAGAGAAGAGCTTTTTGGTGTCTTCTGGTGATGTGAGCCGTGGACAGTGCATGTTACGGTACAGCACTCCATCTGCCAGGATGGCTGGTGCTGGGGGCAGGGGGTAAGAACGGAGCCAAGAACAGATGAGGGAGAAGGAAGGCAGCAAGGTGAGGCTCAGCTAGCTGGCTCCTCTTTAGCCACCGCCTATTATTTATGGTCTCTGCATAGGCCCAAGGAGGGGAGTGGAGGCTGGAGGAGCCAGACTAGGGGATATACCCAACTGGGAAAGAATAAGTACAGGAGGGACCACTCTTTCTAGTCCTGTCCAGCAGAGTGGGAGGCTTTCTCAGACCTCGCAAGTCTAAGCAAGCTTTCTTTAAGGGGCTGGGGCAGAGAGCATACAGATCAGGCCTGGCTCTGAGCCCTTTCTCTGTGGCCTTGGTATCTGGCAGCTGGCTATGTTTTTGGAGTGAGGTGTGAGGCCCGGGTCTTGTATTCACTCAGAAGAATCCCAAGACACCTATACTCTCAGTTCCTTTCTGAAAGTATCCTCTCTCAGGCCTGCAGAAAGACCATGGTCCTAAGACCTGTCACCCTCTGTGATGTTTGGTTGTGGTGCAGATACGTGTGGATGGCAAAGATCAGAGGAGAGTGTCCACAGTGGCAGCGACGGCCTGGTAAGTGACGTTCCCCTTGATCACAGAGAAGCTTCAGCTTTTTAGTGAGACCGAGGACCACCTGCAGAACTGTCTGGGACATGCTGTCTCACCCCTTCCTTACATGAATGCCCTTTACAACATTCTGGCAATGCTACTCACCTGGGTCCCCAGTACTGATGTCCCACTTGATGACAAGGAAGAAAGAAGTCAAGAGAATGAGACATGAGAGGTAAGAAGCTGAAAAAGACCCTCTACATAAATTAGCCATGCAACACAAGGACAGACTGACAGGACATGTATGCAGTAAACTGATTCCTAACTTTAAAACACCTGACTGAAGGGAGAAGAAAAATAGCCAAGGGTCCTATGAAAGCTCCTTAGGAGCCATTAATTCAGTCAAGCTTTAGGGCACGTCTGTTAGAGGGAAATCAAGACAATAAAAAATGAAACAAAACTCTTAAAGCAGAAGAAAATCCTAGGGAGCAGCTGTCTGAAGGAGAAGTCCTGAGCACAAGTTATGGCTGTGAATTTTTAAAGGCAACTGAAAGTCCCTGGAGGTGGTGACCTGCGTCCTGACCATCTGCCATGACATTTGCTAGTCTGCATCACCGCAGGGGCTGTTCCTGCTGGATCCCTGGTGACAGAGGATGAGAAAGCCAGGTTTTCGGTCCTCTGCCTCTACCAGGGTGGCTTGTTCAGCACCGGCTCTGAAAAGCAGGAGGGGAAATTTAAAGCAAACGCAGTGGAACATGTCAAATGACTGTTCCTTGGTGTATCACTCTGAGGAGGTGGGGATCTTTGAGCTTAGAACACTTCCTCATTTCCCTCTGACAGCCAATTTTGGAAGACAAAATGGGAAGCTGGCAGTTATTTTGTGTGTGTGTTTAAGATGGAGGTAGGAGAGACTGAGAAAAGGACACTCTTGGCTTGGGCAGATGGCAGAAGGTGGCTCTGCAACAACTGGAAGGGTTTCATATTGAAGGAGTTATTACAGCTGACCCATCTATCCCCAGGCCTCTGGCTTTGGGCTGCTACCTATGGCCTTGTGGAAACTGCGCAGTTCAGAGCCAAGGGAAGACAGAAAGTCCTAACGGGGAAGAAAGGAGGACAAGAGGGATGAATTTCTGCTCCTAAAACCTAACTCTTCTGAGAGCAACAGTTACGAATTCCCAGGCAAGCCAGACCCTGAGCTCCTCTGCTGAGATTAGCACTGCATGCCCTTCCTCACCCTTCCTCTCCACCCAACCTTACACTCTCTAGAACCCTCTCAGGACCTTGGCTACGATGCTTCAGAGTCCTGGAGCTTCTACTGTGGAGAAGCTCTGCATTTAGCGGGTGGAGAGCAGAAATGAGTTGGAGAAATTCCACAGACCAGGGAGACTCAGTGGCGTGGCTGGGAACCTGGAAAGAGAAAGAAGGAAGCCCAGAGGGTGATGGGCACTTGTGAATACAAGACCCTAGCTCAGGAAACAAGACAGATGTGTGAGGCTGGCCTGCATGACAGCCTCCTCATCAGAACGAGTTATAGAAGAGAGACCGAGGCAGTAATGTGGATGAGGGAGGGAGAGGCAGGAGGAGGACGGCCAATGATGATGTGCATCTTTTGGCCAGTAAACTCTTGCAAAACATAAAGGATCAAGTAATCGAGTAACTTGATGAAAGGAGTATTTAACTATACTATTCCTGCCTGCCCTGATGATTAGAATCGGAGGATTGGGGGCTGCTGGGAGTCCACCAGTCAGATCCTGGCTCTTCCCTTTGCACTATCAAGTGACATCTAACAATAAGGCCACATGATGAGGTTGCCAAGGCTTAGTGGGGAGGTGAGAAGACACCACCACTAGACTAGGTAAAGTCAAGAGACAAAATGAGGTACCCAAATACCTCTAGAAATGGATAAAAAAAAGGACTAGAACTCTTGGGGGTTTGTTCATTTCTGTCTTTTGGCTTCTTTTTTTTTTTCCTTTTTTTGGTGGGAGGGGGTGACAGGTAGGGAGAAGGAATAAAGCTTATGGAAGAGCTAGAAAATATTGCTACTTCATACATTAAAAGTAACCTTACATTTTCTGTAAGTGAATGTTTTAACTAGAATTTAGAAAGGGGAAGAGGGATAAGCAGTTGCTGGGAGACAAAGTCCTGAGTCCTGGGGATGGGTCAGTGGGTGATAGCCCATCAGTCTAGCTTCCCTCAGTCTAGCAGGAAGTGGCATGCTGGGAAAGAACAAGACAGTAACAGCTATGGCTTCGTGGGAGGAGAGGGAACCGAGAACCCCCAAACCTAGGAGCGTAAGGGTTAGTGTTAAAAGAGACAGGTACACGTGCATGGGGTGGGGGTGATTGTTCAGACCGTCTGGGATGTGGGCATGTCAGAAACTCCACTCTTGGGGGGATGACTGATGTGGCTCTGGGGCTAGATGGCCCCTAGTACAGGTGTCAAACGTACATGACTGTAGCTGAAGAGAAAAGCCCCACATCTGTCCATTACTCACAACGTACAAGTTCTCCCCACACTGCCACGTCCAAGGCAGACGGGAGGGGATAAGATGACATCTCTCTTGGTTCCTGGGCGGGCGAGCTCTGGCTGGGGACCTCTCCACCAGGGGAGGCATCATCTGCCCGCAGACTGGGACTGTGGGGTCATGATCACATGCGACTGTATGGGCATGCTCAGTTCTGTCCTTTGGCTGGCCATCTGAGTGAGGACCGAGGTGGCCACAGCTTCAGCCGCAGAGCGAACACTGAGGCCATTGCTAGGGGCTGTTGCTGAGCTGTGCTGAATCACTGGGGCTGGAGAACCCGTTGGCTCTGAGCTTTCCTTGGGGCTTTCTGCCAGGAAGGAGGGCAAAGAGCAGAGAGCAAGTGTTAGAAAACAGAATGGAGAGAGAGGCAGGACTTCCTTTTGCTATAATTCTAAATAAAAGCAAAATAAAACCCATCTTTTTTTTTTTTTAATTCCTCAGAATCCTGGATTCTAAGCATCTGAGTGAGGACCGAGGTGGCCACAGCTTCAGCCGCAGAGCGAACACTGAGGCCATTGCTAGGGGCTGTTGCTGAGCTGTGCTGAATCACTGGGGCTGGAGAACCCGTTGGCTCTGAGCTTTCCTTGGGGCTTTCTGCCAGGAAGGAGGGCAAAGAGCAGAGAGCAAGTGTTAGAAAACAGAATGGAGAGAGAGGCAGGACTTCCTTTTGCTATAATTCTAAATAAAAGCAAAATAAAACCCATCTTTTTTTTTTTTTTTAATTCCTCAGAATCCTGGATTCTAAGTTGCGAATAGACTAGGAAATGGGACGTTGTGTGAAGGAAAGTCAGAAGTAGGCCAAAATTAGCCTAGCTACCCCAATAAGGTGAATCCCAGTATATTAATTACACTGTCTGGCTTCTAGAACTTTGCAGAGTTCATTACGTCTATTTGGAACACTTCCTCTTATTTATATCTTTAAAGGTGATTGAAAATAGATCTCATTTTAGTTATCTTCTCTAATTCCCACAGGGATGAAATCATTCCATTACTTTTCACATTCCTTTAGTGTATGGTTGCACCACAGGTAAGCCGGAAATACCTCAAGCCACACTCAAGTGATGTTACAAATGGTTAATGCTTGGCCAAGGTTACGTTAGCACATAAAACTAGAAGCCTGTTATACCCTCCTGACTATCAATTAGCTGGGATTAATACTATGAAAGATTTATTACGAGCTATGCCACTTCACCTAAAGTGGCAAGAACATTTTATTACTAAATACAAATATCTGAGCTGAATATACAGGGAACTCCATGCTGCTCGATGGTCAGCAAGTTTCAGACGTGTGTGGAGTAAGGGCAAACTTCTAAAAGCTGACTGCATTCTTGACCTCCTGATGGATGCCTGAGTCTTCTCTGGTAATTCAAACATTGCCTCCACTGTGAAGTCTTCTTTGTTACCCTGAGGAAATGAACTGTTTCATCCTTTGTGCGTCTGGAGGATACGTTCATTTATTCATCAAACCTTTCCTGAGGATTATCGATGTGCCAGGTACTGTGGTACAAGAACCCCATCTTGGCGGGAACCAGCAGTTAGCGTAATGGCTATGTCGCTGGACTGCCACGTAGTCGACCGCGGTTCGCATTTCGGACCCGGTGACTTAAATCTCACGCTGGGCGCGTGTGCATGCGTGCCCAAGATCCCGAGAGGAGAATGGAGGAGAAGGGATTGTGGCGTGACCATCCCCCCTGGGGGGTGATTTCTCGCTTTCTGTCTCTATGTCTCTCTCTGTCTGTCTGGCGAGCGCACGCGCCCTACAGTGAAAATCTCTCCAAAAAAAAAAGAACCCCATCTTCAGGAAACTCCCAGTTTAGGGGCTCCCTGCCTGGGATATCTGTCCTTACCTCATGCATAGGTTAACATCACCCCATGCATCTCCCAGAGACAGGAACAGTGTCTTATTTGTCTTTTGTCTGGTACCTAGCACAGTGTCCATGCCATAGAGTGGGAACGAGATATATTTTTGCTAAATTAGAAGTTTAATAGATTGACTACCTGTCAAGTTCTTGTAGCAACTGAGTAGAAAATTTACTATATAAAGAAAACATATTCATACTCAGTCCTTGTTCTCCTTAGTCCATCAAAAGCATTTGATATAGTCCATCACTAAACTTCCTGAAATGCTTTCTTATCTTGATTTACAGATCACCAGCTTCTCAGCTAGTTTTCCTCCTTCCTGGTTGCTCCTTCTCAGACTGTTGTGGGTTCCCTTCCAACCCTCTGACCTCTAAGTGTTGGAGTACCCAGGGCTCAGTCCTTTTCTTTTTCAAACTACTCTCTGTCCCTTGGGGACTTCGTTTAGTCTCATGGCTTTACAAACTAACCACATGCTGCTGACTCCCAAAGTGGTCCCTTCAGTTTTCCTCCAAACTACAGAGTCAGATCACCGACTGTCTACTGGACACCACCTAATGCAGCCTATTCAAACGGACCTCCTACCATGCCTCCCAAGCCACTTGCACCTACATTTTCCCCATTACAATTACAACTCCATTTACTTTTATTTTATTTATTCTTTTTTTGGAGAGATTTTTACTATAGGGTGTATGTGCTCGCTGGAGAGAGAGAGAGAGAGAGACAGACAGAAAGAAAGAAATCACTCCTGCGTGGGGATGGTCACACTGCAATCTCTTCTCCTCCATTCTCCTCTTGGGATTTTGGGCATGCATGCACATGTGCCCGGCGTGAGTTTGAAGCCACTGGGTCTGGACTCAAACCATGGTAGGCCATGTGAGAATATAGCGAAGTAACCGCTACGCCATCTGGTGGCCCCATTTACTTTTCTTTATTTATTTTTTTGCCACGGGGTGTGTGAACTCGCTGGAAAAAGACAGAACGAGGGAGACAGAGAGAAATGGAAAGTGAGAAAGCATCCTCCATGAGGGATGTTCACACCATAATCCCTTCTCCATTTCTCCTTGAGGGATTTTGAATATACATGCACATGTGCCTGGTGTGTTTTTCAAGCCACTGTGTTTGGGACTTGAACTGTCCAGTCAGCCATGTAGGATCCAGTTTAATCACCATACCATTGATTGGCCCAACAACTCCATTCTTACAGTTGTTCAGGCCAAAAACTTTGGTGTAATTTTTAATTTTTTTCCCCCATATATACCACAATCCCATCTGACTCACTGTCAAAGTCTGTTGCTCTAACTTTAAAATATATCCTGAATTCTCACCTCTTTCGTTACCATCACCCTGCTCTAAGATTCCACTGTTTCTTTTTATCCTACACAGGGTCTTGCTGCTGTGCTCCTCCTACCTTGGCCTGCCAGGTAGCTGGGCCACAGGCATGAGTAGCTGAGACTACAGCTGCAACTACTGGTGCCACCAGGTTTAGCTTTTAGGATGGGGCACAATTAAACCTGGACCTCCCATGTGGCCTCAGCCTGATGAGTGGCAGTGTTAATCAGTGCGTATTAATGGGCTGCACCCAAGACACCATTTCTTCTTCTTCCTTTTTTAAAAAAAGAATTATTTTACTTAACCTTATTTATTTATTTAAATTTGACTGGGATAGAGAGAGAGAGAAAGTGAGAAAGCAAGCTGCCAGGTCTGGGACTTGAACCACAGTCGGCCATGTGGGAGTCCAGTGCCTTTAACCACCACATGACCTGTCGGTCCCAGCTTCTTACTTATGATGTTATAATAGCTTCCTACATGAACTGCCTGCTTCTGTTCACACACCCCTGATATTTCTAAAAAGTGATCCTGTTCAAAAACACATCAGATGGGGACCAGCAGTTGGCGTAATGGCTATGTCACTAGACTCCCATGTAGTTGACAGCTGTTCGAGTCCCAGACCCAGTGGCTTAAACTCACTCCAGGCGCGTGTGTGTGCCTGTCCAAGATACCAAGAAGAGAACAGAGGAGAAGGGATTGTGGCGTGGTCATCCCCCCCGGGGGGTGATTTCTCACTTTCTGTCTCTCTGTCTCTATTTCTGGCGAGTGCATGTGCCCTGTAGCCAAAAACTCTCTCTGGGGGGAAAAAAAAGTCCTCTAATGGCCCCCAATGAAGAGTACAAGCTGGGATCCCCACTGTGACTGACAAGACCTCCCTGAACGATGCCCATCACCTCCCCTACTTCATCTCTGGCTATTTCCCACCCTTCCTCACTCCCCATCCCAGCTACACTAACCTCCTTTCTGGTATTTCCAGCACGTCCCAGGCACTCGTGCAGCTTGTGGATTTGCTGTTTCTCCGGTTTGTAGCACTTTTCTTCCTATAAATGCACAGCTAGCTCCCTCATTTCCTTCAGATCTTTCTATTCCAAAGCCACCTCATCTAAAGCTGCAGTCCTGCTACCAGCATTTCACATTACCCTTCCCTGCTTTTTACTCTGTTCGGTTGTCAGGGAAGTCAAGACAGATTTTTCTCTGCCAAAATGCCTCATGACTTTCCCCTGACCCGATAGAATTTACTATTACCTAACATACCATATATTTTACCTATGTATCTTATTTATCATCTGCCTCACCTACTAAAATATAAGCTCCTCAAGGGCAGGGATTTAATCTAGGCTATTTGATTCCCTATTACATTCCCAGCATGTAAAACAGTGCCTGGCACAGATCAGGAACTCAATCAATATCTGCTTAATGAATAAATGTACCCTGAAGTACGTATTGAAGTTTAAGAAGAGATGTTTAAAATTGGTGATGTACTCTTTTCCTATGGGAGCACATCTCTGAAATGATAAAGAGAGTGGAAAAATAATTTAATATGTCAAAATTTGATAGCCAACATTTCTATGAATTTATTTAATTTACAAAGAAAAATAGGCACTTACAGCTTTTACTATCCATAGCTTATTATTCACAGTGGTTTAACTTCAGAATTAGGCTTGTCCTGAGCTCAGCTCTGTGGCCATCTCTTTCCAGTACTCTTATTTTACATATGTGTACAGATTACAAATTCACCAACATCGGCCTATCACTAGAAAGATAAAATATACTCCAAATCCCAATGTATCATCTGCTATTTGTATCTTCTCTAGGTCAAGAAGAGTGTCTTTGAAATAAACCCTGGATGGAAATTCTGGCTCCATGACTTACAGCAGCTCTGTACCTTCCGGTAAGAGACCTAATCTGAGTGCAGCGTTCCTCCCGTATATTAATAACGGAACACCAGATTCCTGAGAGAACTGGAAAGACGGTAGAGTGCCTAATACAAAACAGACACCCAAGAAATATTGCTACCTTTCATCCCCAACTATGATAGATAATTTAGATAATTCTACATTATTGTCAAACATTTCTTGTTATAGGACTGGATGCTGCATAAGAGCTACTCACTCATCCTCCTAAGGAGTCCTCAGAACACTGAGGATACGGCAAAAAATTTATAAACAGTTGAGACACAGTGTGTACGTACAGTTTACTGACAGGTTGACTTTGCTTAGGTTGTAAGCCACTCACCTAAATAGCCTTGAGTCTTTTTCTGTAGTGCAGTGACCGGGCAGTCTTTGTGAGCTAACAGGAGCTGTTTCAACTGAGCCACCTCATTGCGTAGTAATGTGACTTCATTCTAAGGAGGGAGAAGAAAACAGTACCAAGAAATTCCTCAATTCTGTGGACTACTGGCTAAGGGAGTCAGATCCCATATTGCCAACCACATTGTTTGAGTCCTGGACCCAGTGGCTTCAATGACACACCAAATGGATGTGTATTTGTACCCCAAATCCTGATAGGATGAGAAATGGAGAAGAAGTTATTGTGGTGTGCCCCAGTGAGAGGTGCTTTCTCCCTCTCCCTCTTTGTCTCTGGCAAAGCACGTACCTGCTGGCAAAATCTTTTAAAAATATATTTTTTGAAATCCATGCATAGTTTTTTATAACACACATTTTCCATGAACTTAAAAAATTCTTGGGTCAGCAGGATGCATGGAGGTTAAGGTGCTAGAACTCACTTGGCTGAACGGTTCAAGTCCCAGACCAGGTGGATTTAGAATCAGGTCGGGCATGTTATGTGCATATGCCCAAAATCCTTGAGAGGAGGATGGAGAAGGGACTGTGGTGTGGCCATCCCTCCAGGAGGTGATTTCTCGCTTTCTCTGTCTCTGATGAGTGCATACGCCCTATAGCAAAAAACTAAAAAAGAAAAAAAGTTTTCTTTCTTTATTATAATAGAGTGCATGCATGTATGAGAGAGAGGTGGAGGAGAGAAGAGGAGGAAGAGAACTGAGCACCCTTCACAGGGGCTGGTCACACAGGATCCCCTTGCTACAGCCCTCCAGCCCAGCACTTGTGTGTGTGTGTGTGTGATGTTTCAGACCAACCAGGCAGGAAATCCAAAGCACAGTCACCATGTAGGATCTGCCTTCTCTTGAGCAGATCATTACCAATGCACCATGGGGCTGTCCCTCCATGAATTTTTCAAAAAGACTCCTTACATAAAGTAATAAAAATATACTCATATAATACTTTTATAATTAAATACTTTAATAAATACTCAGAGGAAGGAAAATGATATTTAAGAGAATATCTTGATTGTAATTGTTTCATTTATGCTTGTAGTTTTTTTTTTTTTTTCCTTTCTTTTATTAAGCTTCATTACTTCATTATCTGAGGCAAAACACTTCACTTTGTGTTCCATGACCCCAGTCAGATTCTACTGGTGATTTATAAGAGCACCTTGGGATGTTTAATCTAATTTTCTTCATCCAAATAGGTCTAGGGATGACTCATTTCAGTAACAGACTTGGGGAAAGATGGTGAGTATCTTTTCCAGTCTCTAGGGAAGAGATTTCAATTCTGACTCTTAAGAAGTTCTTTTTGCATTCTTTCTGGCACTACTTCTGGCTGTGACCTAATTAAATAATTACCATCTTCTATTATATTGTCCCACTTTTTTTTTAATTTAATCCCACTTTCCAGAGTCAATAATCCAAGGAATTATCCAGGGCCACTCACACTCAGCTGAATGTTTTGAGAAGTGAGTTCCTCTGCCTTCTTCTCCAACGAGGACACCCACAGCTTCCGCTTTTGGCGGCAGCGGGAGGCTGCAGCCCGGTTGCGCTCCAGAAAACGCTGCCGCCGCTCATCGGGATCTTCATCCACTGTGCGTCGCCGGCGACCCCCGGTACTAGGGGTGGGCTGGGCCGGTGAGACCTGTCGTTGCCCAGGAAGGAAGAGGAATTATTTGAGGGGAAAATGAATCCTTTTCAAGTCGAACCAGACATCAGGCAGATTAGCAGATCTGGTAGAGAACCGGTAAAGCAATGTACCAGTCCATGGAAAACACGGCAAGTCTCATCTATTCCCCTCAGCTTGTTTGTGCTAGTTCCTCATTCTGACTCCCGTTTTCTTTCCAGTCTTAGCCTCATACCGAGACAAACCACGTTCAGTTGGAAATTCTGATTATTTCTGAGACACACAGGCAAAATGAAACTAAGATCACGTTTTGCTTTTTTTAAAAAGAATTATTTTATTTAATTTCATTCATTCATTCATTCATTCATTCATTTACATTTGACCAGAGAGAGACTGAGAGAGAGAGAGAGAGAGAAAGCCGCATGGTCCAGGACTTGAACCATGGTCAACCATGTGTGAGTCCAGTGCCCTCAGCCACCACCACCTGCTGGCACCTCCTTTGCTTCTTTTTTTTTTTTTTTTTGTGAGAGGTTTTTGCTATAGGGCGCGTGCGCTCGCCAGACAGACAGAGAGAGACAGAGAGATAGAAAGCAGGAAATCACCCCCCAGGGGGGGTGGCCATGCCGCAATCCCTTCTCCTCCATTCTCCTCTCGGGATCTTGGGCACGCACGCACACGCGCCCGGCGTGAGTTTAAGCCACCGGGTCCGGGACTCGAACCGCGGTCAACTACGTGGGAGTCCAGCGACATAGCCATTACGCTAACTGCTGGTCCCTACCTCCTTTGCTTCTTAACCATAGGAAATCTTATAGGCTGGAAAATCAGAATCAGGGAAAGATGTCAGGAGAACTTTTAGGAAGACTATGATTTTGAGAATCACTGATAGGGACAAGCAACATGCACGAGCAATTGCATACTATAAAATGGACTTCACAAAAGGAGAAACTTAAAAAAAAATTCACTAGCAGTGAGGTATAAGCCATTATAGAGAGGTAGGGAATAGTATGTGTATATATATATATATATAGTAGATTAGTGTGTGTGTATATATATATATATATATACATATATATATTGTAGAGTGTGTGTGTATATATATATATATTGTAGAGATTTTTGCCTTAAAGTACATATGTCTCTGGAGAGAGACAGAGACAGTGAGAGGAAAGTGAGAAATCACTCCCCAGGGAGGATGACCTCTCCAAAATCCCTTCTTTATTCTCCGCCCAGGATCTTGAGCATGCACACACACGCACCCAGCATGAGTTTTGAGCCACAGGGTCCAGTACTCAAACAGTGGTCAGCTATGCAAGAGTCCAGCGATGTAACCACTATGCCATCTGCTGGTCCCATGTATATTCTTTTTTTTCATATATTCTTTTTACTTACAATTACTATCATTCTCAGCAAACTTCTCACCTTTTGCTTGTAAATAAAAACGTTGAGAAAAAACATTTAACTCCTTTACAAACTAATGATATAAGACTGCCTTTTGAGGCCAGCAGGTGGCATGGTAGTTAATGGCACTGGATTCACATATGGTTGACCATGGTTCAAGTCCCAGGCCTGATGGCTTGCTTTCTCACTCCCTACCCTCCTCTCTATCCCTCTCTGGTCAAATTAAAATAAATAAATACGTAAATTAAGTTAAATAAAATAATTTTTAAAAAGACTGCCTCTTGCTTTTGAACTTTGGACTAAAGTTCCTTGTCAGAGCATTTTTGGATCAGGCCAGCAAATTGCATGGTAGTTGAGATGCTGGATTCTCACATGGCTGACAGAAGTTTGAGTCTTGAACCTGGCAGTTTGATTTCTCACTTTCCTTCTCTCTTTCTCTGGTGAATTGAAAAATAATAATAATGATAAATAACTCTTTTTTTTTATAGAGGTTTTTTGCTATAGGGCGGGTGCGCTCACCAGACAGAGAGAGAGAGACATAGAGACAGAAAGCGAGAAATCACCCCCCGGGGGGATGGCCACGCCGCAATCCCTTCTCATCCATTCTCCTCTCGGGATCTTGGGCACACACGCACACGCGCCCGGTGTGAGTTTAAGCCACCGAGTCCGGGACACGAACCGCGGTCGATTACGTGGGAGCCCAGCGACATAGCCATTACGCTAACTGCTGGTCCCGATAAATGACTCTTAAAACACTTTTGGATCATTCTCCCTTTCTGTCAGTTGGTATGTTCAGAGAAGGCAGACCAATTTTGTAATAGTGGTCAAAATTAAACAAAATGTAGACAGGGTAATTATCTGTAGAAATGAAACTATATAATGCAAACAATGCCAAAAGTAAATTCTTCTTGGATCTGTTGCTGTTAAGGAATATCTATATTATTTTCCAAACACAAGACCTCCTATCAGTTTTATGAAAACAAGCATGAGCTTATGAAAAAAAACCAGAAAACTTGGGGTCGGCAGGTAGCATGGTGGTTGGAGATGCTGGACTCACACATGGCTGACCACAGTTCCAAGTCCTGGACATGGTGGTTTGCTTTCTCACCTTCTCTCTCTCTCATTCTATCCTTCTCTGGCCAAATTAAAATAAATAAATGAATAGAGTTAAATAAAATAATTATTAAAAAAACCGTTTCATTCCAGGCCCTACTAAATTACGTTCTCCATTAGTATAGATAATTTAGAGATAATTTTATTTATTCATATTAATATTCTCTCTCTTAAAAGAAGAAAAAAATGGTGCAAGAATTTCAAACTCAATTTAATGAGTTAGAGGCCTTTACTTGTTGCTTCTCACTTCACCAAGGGAAGATACTTTCCTCAAGAAATTTACAGTAATTCTGAGAATTTCAACTTCCGCTTTGTCCTGAGCTCATTGGAGCACATGTAGAGATTAGTACTTTAGGGGATCAGCAGATGGCATAATGGTTATGTTGCTGGACTCCTACATAGTTGACTGAGGTTCAAGTCCTAGACCAGGTAGCTTGAAACTCATGCTGGGTACGTGTGTGAGTGCCCAAAATCCTGAGGGGAGACTGGAGGAAAAGGGACTGTGGCATGGACGTCACCCTAGGAGGTGACTTCTTGCTTTCTGTCTCTGTCTGTCTGGCGAGCATGTACACCCTACAGCAAAAATCTCTCTAGAATTATTTTATATAACTTTATTTATTTATTTAAATTTGACCAGAGAGGGACAGAGTGAGAGAGAAAGAGAGAGAGTGTGTGTGTGTGTGTGTGTGTGTGTGTGTGAGAGAGAGAGAAAAAAAAAAGGATTAGTACTTTAGAAGGAGAAGAGGGGAAAGGAAAGAATGGGTTCTTATTCTCTTATGAGCAACTCAGTAACTCATGTAGAGGATGCAGGTAAAAGAATAGCCAAAAAGAAAGGAGGGAAGAATGGGAAGAAAAGGAATCACTGACGACTAAAAAGGAAGCCATGTTACTTCCCCAAGAGGGAAAGCAGCACCACTCAGGCGACGTGGTTGCTGCTTTACCGACTCCAGGACGGCTTTGGTGAGGCTTAACAGTAATATGGGCAGGCTGAGTGTCCAACAAGAAAACTCAAATGAAAGCTTTTATTGTTGGCCACGCTTTAAGGCAGCATATGGCCATGAAATGTTTGGACATGTGGTGGTAACCAATGAAGCAGGTGGTGACATCAGGAAAAGAGTGGCTGGGCAAAGAATGTAACTCTAGAAACCAATCTCAGGTTGTTGTCACCTGTCCAGGGCAGACAGTATGAAAACTGAGGACTATTTAGTCTCCAAAGAATCTTGTTACAACTGAGAGCTCCTTGAGAAGAGAACTAGGTGGCTAAATGGGTCCCCTCTGGCTTTTTAGGATTTTATTTTTCTGGGATAAGGGGTTGAACTGGTAATGAGATTTTGTTTTGTTTTTAAAAATTACTTATTTAATTTTGTTATTATTATTTTTAAAATCTGACCAGAGAAAGACAGAGAAGAGAAAGGGAAAGTGATAATGCAAGCCCACCATGTCCAGGACTCAAATTGCAGGTGGCCATGTGTGGACTTCAATGCCTTAACCACCACGCCACCTGCCAGTCTTGAGATGGTGTTTTATTGGGTGTGTTTTCTTGTTTCTTTACTGAGCTGCCTTAACTACTGTAACGTCACATTTTATATTCTGTTATTATCTAGTTTTTGCTATAAATTCTAATCAAGTAAGTTGCTAATTTTTTTTTTTTTTTTGGGTAAGACTTAATATTCTGGGATAAGGGGTTGAACTGGTAATGAGATTTTGTTTTGTTTTTAAAAATTACTTATTTAATTTTGTTATTATTATTTTTAAAATCTGACCAGAGAAAGACAGAGAAGAGAAAGGGAAAGTGATAATGCAAGCCCACCATGTCCAGGACTCAAATTGCAGGTGGCCATGTGTGGACTTCAATGCCTTAACCACCACGCCACCTGCCAGTCTTGAGATGGTGTTTTATTGGGTGTGTTTTCTTGTTTCTTTACTGAGCTGCCTTAACTACTGTAACGTCACATTTTATATTCTGTTATTATCTAGTTTTTGCTATAAATTCTAATCAAGTAAGTTGCTAATTTTTTTTTTTTTTTTTTTGGGTAAGACTTAATAGACTGGAAAGAGACTAGGTAAGCCTCCTTTTTTAGTGCATAATGTGGTTTGAGACGCTAAACCATCATTCACATATAGAGAAAACCCAAAACCCAAAACCCAAAATAGGCCTCTTCTGTAACAATTCTGCATTATTCAGCCTGTTTGTAACCAAACCATCAATAAGAACTGAAATAGCAAAAAAATACCCAATCTTTTCAAATTTTTTGCTTCTTGAAAAACAGATTATGACACGAAGAGTAAGGTTACACAGTTGGTTTCAAGGGCCTAACTGACCTGTGGCTGGGCAGGGGATGGGGCGTCAGGGTGCTGGATGAGGATCTGGCTCTGCTCTGGACGAGCTGTCACCATGGTGCTGGCAGTCCCCACCACCATTCCACAACCACCATTGAGTGAGGAGACTTGGTGGGTTAGGGTGGCTTTTAGTCTCTGTGGGGAAAATGAGAAAACATAGCTCGTCAATAGTGGGATTCTATCAAGGATAAGAAGAGTAGGCTTAGATTTTATTATTGACCTTACGGATAGCTAAAATTTCCACTCCAATTTTCCCTTACCAGAGGAATGAAAAGAAATGACAGGGAAAAAAATATGCACCTGGATCCCTAAAATACCTACTCTTTTTGCTGGCTATCATCCTGGGCATGGTTGGAGGGTAGGGGTTGTTGAAGCAAGAGAGTCCAGATGAAAGCTCTCTCCTGGAACCTGGCCAGATGCTGCTTACACAGCTATTCACCTCTTGGCCAGCTCCCCTGCCCGCTCACCACCCTCCATCTGTCACCCTGGAACTAAAATGGCAAGTGTTCCATTCCAAACAATCTGTGCTGCCTCTTTTCACTGCCATGGACTGTGTACCAGGCTCTAAAGGTGGGAAGAGAGGTGGGAGTTATGAATCAGGGTCTTTTCTTTTCCAGACCCCACAGTACGGGGCCCTCAGCTTAGCAGGACCAGAAGGTTGCTTTGCTCAGCCCACTTGAAAAACCCAGGCTGACACCACTTCTTTCAGAAGAGCCAACATTGCCCCAGGCTGGGATGTACTCACCATCTTGGCTTCTGAAGGCATAGGGTGGCCAGAGGGAGAAATGGAACCACTGCTATTAATTGGTGGGCCAGGGATACCAGGAATGTTGGGCACCATGGACACAGGTCTGGCCAGCTGGATCAAGAGAGGGAAGAAAAACCAGAAGGGGACAGAATGCTATTATTGGTAGGGCAACAAATATTTTTTCATTCATTTCCCCAAAATAAATTCCTTCTGAGACTGGCATATTAGGGCCTATTCTGTGCAATCTGCCCATAGGGCACACAGGGACAGCCTAGGAAATACCTTCCCCCATGGAGCACCACATGGTAGGGAATCTGATCCTCCAGTGCTGGGACAATTTCTGTGGGAAAGGCTGGGGCTGTATCTTGAGAAAAGTGGTGGGCAATTTGGGCAGTGCTATGTGCCAAATGAAATCAACCAATCAGTGGGCTGGCAAGATCAATTCCTAGACCAGGAGCCAATCGTCCAGATGAGTCTTTGTCTAGTGTTCCATAGTGCTGGACTGGCAGAGGCTAGTGAAGAGTTTGGGCACACTGCCATGCTAATACAGACCAGAGTCCACAGTTCCCTAGGGCTCATGTGTGTTTACAGCCATTCAGGTGGAAGGGAAGGATTAGCATGTTGGTGGGGCTGGCTGCTCCTACTACAGAGCTCACCGATATAACAGAAGGCATCTGTACCGGAGGCCCTGGCAGCACAGGCATGGTCTGTCCGTTAGCAAGATGCATGACGAGAGGGAGGGAGCCGGTGGGAGACCTAGAGGAGACATGAAGTAGAAAGCTCATAATACGGACTTTTTGGTATCTATGCATTTCCTCCTATAATTCTAGCATATTTTCTAATCTTTTCTAGTTAAGGAACGCATAGAGAAGCACTATAAAATCTTGACTCTATCATAAAGGTGGGAAATCTGGCAACACTGCTGACTTTACAGATGGAGAGAAATGGCAAAATCTTCATACCTTGCAAATTAAGCAAACTCAAAAGGTGGGAAGCTCATCCTTTTGAGGGGTTAGATCAATCTGATAAATACCTCTTCCACTGGCATGTGTAAATTATATCTTGCCTTAGGTAAAAGAGAGTTAGATCAAAGTCATCATTTTGTAAAGCCAAATTATGTCATAGGATGGCCAAATCTGAATATGTTTCTCTTGTTCCTTCCCACAGTTTGCTCTAACCTGCTCCAAAATAAGCTTTTCCTTTTTATCTTTTCTGGTAGATTCAGAGAACAATAAATTCTAAGAAGGTGAATCTTGACAATAAGTTCTTAACAGTGGACATCTGGGAGCAGGGTCTCAAGACATCCCATCAGGATATCTGTATGCACCATACCAGGAGTGAAGACAAAGAGACAAACAATATTAGTGATAGCAAGAACCTTGACTGGGACTCACAGGAACACTAGACTCAAAGACGATAACTTCATGGGTGTTAACCCCTCATTCAGTAGTGCCCCAATAAACCTCTGCAGGAGGGAGGCCAAGAACTGAATATACTTATTTGTGTGCCTCCACCACTATGACGAACTTCTAAAGTTTTAAAGATTTTTTCTTTCAGGTTAAATAAGTATTAAACCGCCAAATAAAAGGAGTACTGCCCTTAAATAAATATTTATTTGTGTACTAAAAAGGTAAGAGAGATTTTGTTTATGGGGGGGACATTTATTTTGAGAAACAGTATCAGTGACATGTTTTTCTTAGGTACTCAAAAACAGTCCTCGTTTCGTCAAATGATTTCATAAAGTGGAAAGAGATTCAGGCTTCACTCTCTCTCCCTGCTCTCTTTACTTACCCTATTTGCCTGTTAGATGGTGGAGCCTGTGTGATGACGGAGGTTGGGGAGGGAAGGGTTGGATGAAGTGGATCATAGCCCAAGTGGAGAGGCAGGGAGCCGGGACGGACGATGGTGGGTGTGGGGGTAGAGATCACAACAGGCTTCGGGGCTACCTCCTGGGGAGAAGAGACCAATAGATCACAAAATGCTTCAAGAGCTGCTTATAGGGAAACACAGAGCTGATCAAATCTAGTGTAAATTTATTGGAAAGAGCATTCGAGTCACTATTTAAATCATGACCTGATTCCATCATGATCATGGGCCCATACCTCACTCACTCATTCACTAGAGATGCTGAGTTAAGATCTCTTGGCTATCTCCCTTTCAGGGACAATGGCTACATGAATGAGACGACAGGTGGAAAATCACTTGAAATCTTTGGAGAAGCACTTAGTACCATATAAATTCTAGGGGCTGTTAGAATCTTTCACAATCCAAATACTCTCATTCTAAACTTGATGCCCCAGTATCTTCTGACCTCCAGGCAGGTATACTAGCAAGACAGCAACCCAGTATCTCTATAAGCACCTTAAAAAAAGGGCTATGGTTAAGAGAGTCAGATTCAGCTTGGCTGACCACAGTTTGAATTCTGGCCCTAGTGGCTTGAGAAACACTCTAGGTAAGTGTGTGTGTGTTCAAATCCTGATAGGATGGAAGAATGGAGGAAAAAGGATTGCAGAATGACCATATCCCATTCAGGGGTTCTCTCTCTCTCTCTCTCTCATGAGTGTATGCACTTTCTAGGAATAAAAAAAAATAGTATTTGAGGACTGGCAGGTGGTGTGGTGGTTAAAGGTGCTGGATTCCCACATGGCCAACTATGGTTCGAGTCCCGAACCTGGTGGCTTATTTTTTTGCTTTCCCTTTGTCTCTCTCTTTGGTCAAATTAAAAAAAAAAAAAAGTAACAAATAGAATGAAATAAATAAGTAATTCTTAAAAAAAGAAGTATCTGAAGAAAATAAAGGCTATGGCGACCAGCAGATGGCATAATGGTTATATCACTGGACTCCCAAGCAGTTGATCATAGTTCAAGTCCTGGACTAGGTGGTTTAAAACTCACACCAGGTCCATGTGAGAGAATCCCAAGAGGAGAAAGGAGGAGAAGAGATTCCAGTGTGGCTATCCCCCCTCGGGAGTGATTTCTCACTTTCTGTCTCTTTTTCTCTCTGTGTCTCTCTGGTTATCACATGTACCCTAAAGTAAAAATCTCTCTTTAAAAAATATGGGGCAGGGGGGAACCAGCAGTTAGCGTAATGGCTATGTCGGTGGACTCCCACGTGGTCGACCGCGGTTCACGTCCCGGACCCGGTGGCTTAAAACTCACGCCAGGCGCGTGTGCGTGCGTGCCCAAGATCCCGAGAGGAGAATGGAGGAGAGGGAATTGCGGTGTGACCATCCCCCCTGGGGGATGATTTCTTGCTTTCTGTCTCTATGTCTCTCTCTGTCTGGCTGGCGAACACATGCACCCTATAGCGAAAATCTCTCCAAAATAAAAAAAAGGGGCAGGGGTGGACCAGCAGTTGGTGTAATGGCGATGTAGCTGGACTCTCATGTAGTCGACCGCAGTTTGAGTCCTGGGCCCGGTGGCTTAAAACTCACGCCAGGCGTGTGTGCGTGCGTGCCCAAGATCCCGAGAGGAGAATGGAGGAGAAGGGATTGCGGTGTGGCCATCCCCACTGGGGAGTGATTTCTAGCTTTTGGTCTCTCTTTCTGTCTGTCTGTCTGTCTTTCTTTCTTTCTTTCTTTCTTTCTTTCTTTCTTTCTTTCTTTCTTTCTTTTTTGGAGAGGTTTTAGCTATATAGGGTGCGTTGGCTCGACAGGCGAGAGACAGACAGAAAGTGAGAAATCACCCCTCAGGAGGGATGGCAATGCCACAATCCTTCTTCATTCTCCTCTCAGGATCTTGGGCATGCAGCCACATACACCCAGCATGAGTTTAAGCCGCTGGGACCAGGGTGGACTCCACCGGGCCCAGGACGCGAAGCGCAGTCGACAACGTGGGAGTCCAGCCTCATAGCCATTACGCTGACTGCTGGTCCCATGTCTCTCTCTGTCTTTCTGGCGAGCACACACGGCCTATAGCAAAAAACCTCTCTGAAGAAAAAAGGCTATGGAAGTTTAATGATCACATTGTAATAAAGTAAACAGTTTCCCACTTTTAACTTGCTAAGAGCTTAGATTGCCATATTGTCCTTGAAGGCATTTCCAGACCGTCTCTAGGACTTAGTGCTGATACAAAGGGGATGGTTATAATGTTTATGAAGGTGGTTTGAGAAATTACCAAGCCCAATTGAGAGGGAAGTAAGATGAAGTACAGATGTTCTATCCATAGTGAATACTAAAACGAGTAACTGGGCCAGGTGATGGCGTGGTGGTGAAGGCTGCTGGATCCCACGTGGCTAACCACGTGGTTCAAGTCCTTGACTTAGTGGCTTGAAAAATATATGGGTGCAAGTGTATGCATGCCTGAAATCCTAAAAGTAGGGAGAAGCAGAGAAGAGATTATGCTGTGATCATCCTCCTGAGGCATATTTCTCACTTTTATCTCTCTCCAGAGAGCACATGCACTCTCTGGCAAATTGTTTTTTAAAAAAGGAATAACTGCTGGTAGAAGAGTAGACTGGGGGCCAGCAGGTGGCACGGTGGTTAAGGGTGCTGAACTCCCACCTGGCCAACCATGGTTCAAGTTCCAGACTTGGTGGCTTGCTTTCTCACTTTCCCTCTCTCTCACTCCCTCTCTCACTCTGTCCCTCTCTGGTCAAATTAAAAATAAATACATAAGTAAATAAAGTTAAATTAGTTTAAAAAAAGAATTACTAATTTAATTTATTTATTCACTTAAATTTTTTTTGAGAGGTTTTTGCTATAGGGCACATGCACTCGCCAGAAAGAGAGACAGAAAGCAAGAAATCACCCCCTCCAGGGGGGCGGCCATGCTGCAGTCCCTTTACCTCCATTCTCCTTTTGGGATCTTGGGCACGCATGCATGTGCGCCTGGCATGAGTTTAAGCCACTGGGTCTGGGACTCGAACCACGGTTGAGTATAATGAAGTCCAGCGACATAGCCATTACGCCAACTGCTGGTCCATATTCACTTATTTTTTAATTTGACCAGAGAGAGACAGAGAGAAAGCAAGCCACCAGGTCCGGGACTCGAACTGTGGTTGCCTATGTGGGGATGTCCAGTGCCTTTAACTGCCATGCCACCTGCTGGTCCCTAAATAAAATAATTCTTTTTTTTTTTTTTTTTTTTAGAGAGGTTTTTGCTATAGGGCATGTGTGCTCACCAGAAAGACAGAGAGACAGAAAGCCAGGGGGAATGGCCACATTGCAATGCCATCTCCTCCATTCTCCTCTTGGGATCCTGGGCAAGCATGCACATGTGCCCAGCTTGAGTTTAAGCCACCAGATTCGGGACTTGAACTGCAGTCAACTAGATGGGAGTCCAGAGACATAGCCATTATGTAACCGCTGGTCCCATAAAATAATTCTTAAAAAAAAAAAAAGAGTAGGCTGGAAGGAGGCATAAGAGGGCTTCTAAGATTGTAATAATGTTTTGGATCTGTGTGCTATTCATGAAAATTCAGTGAGCTATATACTTTTCTGTATGTATATAAAAACTGAATAAATATATAAAAGATAATATTTCATAAAAGATTTCTTTTCAAAATAGTAATAATCAGAGTCCTAATAGACACTTCCTTTCAGCCACCTTCCTAAAGTGACTTTTCCTAAATTGTTAGTGTTCAATTTATGAATTCTGTGAATTTTTCTTTTTCACTTATTAATTGAAGTATAACATACACAGAGTAAACTATAATATTCTATAGTTGTAACAGTGAAATTACTTTTTATTTATGTAAAATCAGAATAGATGGCTTAGCCTGGTGGTACACTCAGCAGCAAACTGAACTGTAGGGATAGAAGCCACATGGCTGGCTGACTATAGATTCTCCTCCCCTGGTCAGCCTGAAAATATGCTAGGCACATGCATGCACGACCAGGATTCTAATGAGTTGGTGAGCTGTGGGAAGGGGACTACATTGTTGAGACCCTGTGGAGAGCCCCCTAACCAGTACATGTACTTGTGCTATCATAAATAAAAATATATAAACTTAAAAAACAAACAAACAAACAAACAAAAAAAACAGGATATCTGTCATTTCCAGCATACCTAAAAGTTCTTGTGTCTACCAATCTCTCACAATATGTAAACACTATTCTGAGTTTTATTATCATCAAATAGTTTTGCCTCTTTTTAAATCTCATCTAAACTGAATCATGCATATTTGTCTGATTTTTGTTGTTGCTATTCAATATAATGTTTGTGAGATTCACTCACACTGCTGTATAATCATTAGTTCATTCCTTTTTTTTTTTTTTTTAAAGTTTTTAGGGTATAGGGTATGTTTGCTCGCCAGAGACAGATAGAGACAGAGAGAGGGAAAGTGAGAAAGCACTCCCCAGGAGAATGGCCATGCTGCAATCCTTTCTCCTCCATTCTCCTGTCAGGATTTTGGACATGCACACACATGTGCCCAGCATACTTTTCAAGCCAGGAGTCCGGGATAGGAATTGCAGAGTTGGTTATGTGGGATCCAGGACCTTAACTTCTAAGCCATCTGCTGGTCCCAGTTCATTCCTTTTAAGTTTATTATTAAAAATATTTTTTTTCCCAAAGGGTGTGTATACTTGCCACAGAGACACAGAGAGATAGGAAAAGTGAAAAATTACCCCCCAGGGGGGATGTCCATACCACAATCCCTTTTCCTTCATTCTCCTCACAAGATTTTAGGAATGTACACACACATGCCTGGCACGTTTTTCAGATGTCCAGGATTCAAACCACAGAGTTGGCCATGTGGGATCCAGCACCTTAACCACCATGCCATCTGCTGGCCCCCTCTAAGTTTTATTCATTTCTTCCATGAGTGAGAGAGAAAGAGAGAGACAAAGAGACCAACAGGGACTCAGTGCCATGATTCATCCAAAGCCTCAGACTGCCTCAGACCACAGGCCTAGACATGCCCAGCATTCTCAGGGAGGCCTCCAGATGTGAAACCATAGCATTCTCTTGTGATCAGCCATACAGAGAATCAGTTTACCACAGCTTCTCTGTCTTGCCTCTCAACAGTTCACTGTGTTTAATGCCATATAGAAGTCTACTTTAGCAGGACCAGAATGGTCCAGTCATGGCATAATGGCTGTCACTGGACTCCCACTTAGTCAACTGTGGTTTGAGTCCTGGACCTGGTGGCTTAAATTCACACTGGCTGCTTGTGCGTGTGTGCTAAAGATCCTGAGAGGAGAATGGAGGAGAAGGGATTGCAGGTGGCCATCCCCCCGGGAGGTGATTTCTCGCTTTCTGTCTCTCTGTCTTTCTCTATCTTTCTGGTGAGCACATGCGCCCTATCGCAAAATCCTCTCCAAAAAAAAAAAAAAAAAGTCCACTTTAGGAATATGCCATAATTTCTAGGGACCAGCAGTTAGCATAATGGCTATGTCGCTGGACTCCCATGTAGTCAATGATGATTTGAGTACCGGACCTGGTGGCTTAAACTCACGCCGGGTTCATGTGTGTGCATGCCCAAGATCCCGAGAGGAGAATGGAGGAGAAGGGATTGGGGCATGGCCATCCTCCTTGGGGGATGATTTCTCTCTGTCTCTGTCTTTCTGGTGAGTGCACGTGCCCTATAGCAAAAACCTCTCTTAAAAAAAAAAAGGAATTATGTCATAATTTATTTCTTCATTCTGTTGTTGACAGACATGTGGAATGTTTCCAGCTTTTTTTTGGGGGGGGGCTATTATGAATGTGACTGCTATGATCACTCTTACATATTTCTTTTGGTGAATATATGTTACTAGCTTCTCTTCCTTATAGATTTAGAAGTAGAACTACCGCGTTCTACTGGAATTTATATAAATCTTCTAAACAATTAATGCTCCTTTAATACAACCATGAACCAGCAGATGGCGTAGTGGTTATGTCACTGGATTCCCACATGGCCGACTGGTTTGAGTCTTGGACCCAATGGCTTGAAACTGACATTGGGTGCATGCACATGCACGCCCAAGATCCTAGGGAGTGAATGGAGGAGAAGGGATTGTGGAGTGGCCCATTTTCCCTCTCACTGTCTTTGTCTCTCTCTCTTCCATGAGTATACACGCCCTAAGGCAAAAACCTCTATAACAATAAATAAATAAATAAATAAATATAATCAATACTCCAATAGGACACATCATTTATGGAACTGATTAATTGAAACTTGTAGCACAGACACTATGCAGAGAAAGCTGGATCCCACATGGCCAACCAGAGTTTAAGTCCTGGCCCCACCGGCTTGAAAAACATGCCAGGCCCATCCATGCGTGCCCAGGATCTTAAATGGGATGGAAAACTGGAGGAAAAAGGATAGCGGCAGGACTGACCCATAAGGGGATGCTTTCTCTTTCTCTCTCTCATGTGCCCTTAGGCATTAAAAAAAAAGTTAATTTATCAATCAACATTTAGAATGATTACTGCTAGAGACTTTTACCTTCTCCTTCAGTGGCGGGGAGCAGGGGCTAGAGGCTGGGCTGTCAGGTGGGGATGAGTCAACCTCCACTGGCTCTTCTTCTTTGATTTTGATGTCTGGTGTGGAAGGGAGAGACATGTCAAGGGGCCCAGCAGCAGCCTGTTTGAAGAGAGAAATGAGAGTTGCACCCCATGATTCCTTTCAGGTTCAACCTATGTTTTTCTAGTTATAAGATGAGGGAATATGTTTCTGAGAAGTCTGGCTCTCAGAAAAAAAGCACTGAAGAGCAATTAAAAAAAAAAAAAATAGGAGCCTTATGTTTTATGTACAACTCTGACCAAATCATTTTATCTTCTTAGGGATTCTGTTTCTTAACTATAAAATAAAAGTAACGCCTGCTTCACCAGTAGTAAGTAAATACTTCAAAATATCTGAGGGGGCGGAGAAGAAGTCATTTAAATCTATCTAAGTATCGTGATTATAATCTTTTTCAGGAAAGTAAAATGATTCCCGAATCTAGTGCCTGTGTTTTCTCAACCACCTCTGATGGCCATTGGAGGGCTGTGAATACCTTCTCTGTCAACCAGAATGATTAAATTACTCAACTATCAAAAGCAAATAAAGACAAACTGGCTATTAAAGTGCTGCCAACAAGATAGGAAGGGTCTTTTCCGGGGAACTTGCCATGCTTGATGGCGATCTCACCCCAAAATGTGGGGTGAGAAGTTTCACCGTGCCTGCTGCTAGATGTCTCAGGCAGACAGGGTTTTGGAGAAACAAAGAAAGAAAGGCTGATCATCAGATCAGTGAAAAATATTAGACCTTGGTCCTAGGAACAGGACTGGAGGAAAAATCAGCAAAGAGAGTACTCTCCTGGCAGTGGTGCAGTCACCTCACAGAACTGTGGAGCTGTAAATGGCTTTGCAGGGAACAATAAGCCAGCTGAGATAACGACCCTGACACCGCTGCACCACGACAGGAGGATTGGCATTGCGGTTCAGTTTCATGACAAAGTGGATCCTTTGTTCTATTCTTCCCAAATCCCAGGCTTCTTGGCAAAAGAGGCACTTGTTTCTAACCCTTCCCTTTCTATCTCAATTCCTAGAAATCTTGGTCTCTATTCTGAGTAAATACAATCTGGTTGTCTACCTCATTAGAGAAGGTGGTAATGGCTCTTTTCACCCTGATTTGATGAGGGTGAGTAACAGCAAAGATGGTTTCATCTCTGTCCCTTTGACATTGCTACAATGTCAAGCCCAATTCAGTTAATTCTGAGATCTCTGCATTCAGAGACTGGTGAGGAGAGGCCTTTAAGTAAATACGGCCATGGATTTAAAATCCTCTGGGGCACCTCCCAGAAAAAGCGGTGGTTCAGGAAAGTTTCAGGCTCATTAAACACTCCTGGAGACAATCTTCCACAGAGCCTGTGCTTCTCATCAAGAGGTGGTCAAGACCACCCCTGTATAGGCAGGAAGAAACACCACAGGAGGCCCAGGGAGGTAAGACCTGACCAACTATGAACTGGCCTCCCAGAAGTGTCAACCGAGCTAAAACGACAGTGGAATAGCCTTAAAGCCTTCTTAGGTAGGCTAATTATCTTGAATTTGCCCATAATGAGTTTGGTATAAAATCTCTCATATCCTAGCGGAAATAGTTTTACTACTTTCTTTGTTTTGGGGGAGTGAGAAATGGTAGGAGAGGTGAGGTAGGGGCATTATAAAATAAAATTGTATTATTAGGTTGTTGGAAATGTCATGACATGTTTTTCTATACAAAAATGCATCATGAATTTCCCAACTACCCAATATATAGGATGGGGCAACTGAGAGAAGAGAGATCTGGGTGTCTAAAGAAAAAAGAATGATGAGAAGACTGTGGCTAATACTGCCAGTTAAAAGTACAACTACAGGGACTAGCAGTTAGCGTAATGGCTATGTCGCTGGACTCCCATGTAGCTGACCACAGTTCGCGTCCCGGACCCGGTGGCTTAAAACTCACGCCGGGCGCATGTGCTTGCGTGCCCAAGATCCCGAGAGGAGAACAGAGGAGAAGGGATTGCGGCATGACCATCCCCCCTGGGGGGGTGATTTCTCGCTTTCTGTCTGTCTCTGTCTGTCTGGCGAGCTCACACGCCCTGTAGCAAAAACCTCTAAAAAAAAAAAGGACAACTACAAATGCTGGTGTCTCTCTTTCTCCACGACACATTTTTTAATAGAAAAGCAGGGAAAAATATGTCATGACTTTTCCAACGGCCACTGACTTCCCTGCTTTCTTGTGTCGGAAGGAGATAGCATGAGAAACTCATAGAAAGCTACAGAACTTTTAACGCATTCCAGTGATAAAGATACTTTATCTTGTGTTCTTATTATTTAAGCTGGATAGAGAAATATAACTATCTTGATTTACCTGCTATCTCCCTCTTAGAAGGAAAGGGTACCCATGGAAATTTTTCTTACATACTGGCTCTATCTTCTGATGCGATTCCATGTGTCATGACATTATGCAATTGAGAGGTACATATATTTATGTATATACGCACCCCACACCCACATGTGTACACCCACATGTCTTGGGAAAGAAATATTGGAATCTTTTCTGAATTATTATGGAACACACACTTGAGTTTAATGACTAATAACCTAGAATTATAAATCTAACGTAAGCTTCGATCTTTTCATTTTTATTTTTTCTCCCAAAACTTTTCCATGCAAATGACTTCCTTTGACTCTGCTTCTTTAACTATTTCTTCTAGTCTTCCAAACTAAGAGATTCACGAAGGAAATTCAATACATCAGAGTTAAAATCAGGGACCAGCAGTTGGCGTAATGGCTAAGTCGCTGAACTCCCACATAGTTGACCGTGGTTCAAGTCCTGGACCCGGTGGCTTAAACTCATGCCAGGCATGTGTGAGTGCGTGCTCAAGATCCTGAGAAGAAGGACTAGCAGTTAGTGTAATGGCTATGTCACTGGACTCCCATGTAGTCGACCACGGTTCGAGTCCCGGACCCGGTGGCTTAAACTCACACCAGGCGCGCGTGTGTGTGTGCCCAAGATCCCGAGAGGAAAATGGAGGAGAAGGGATTGCAGCATGGCCATCCTCCCTGGGGGGTGATTTCTCGCTTTCTGTCTCTCTGTCTCTCTCTGTCTGGCTGGCGAGCACACGTGCCCCATAGCAAAAACTCTCCAAAAAAACAAACAAACAAACAAACAAAACGAAAAGAAAAAAAAAGAAAAGATCCTGAGAGGAGAATGGAGGAAGAGGGGCTGCGGCATGGCCATCTACGCCCCGCCCCTTCCCCCGGGAGTGATTTCTCACTTTCTGTCTCTCTTTCTCTCTCTGTCTTCCTGGCAAGTGCATGCACCCTATAGCAAAAAACCTCTCCAAAAATAAAAGCTAAAATCAGAATCACATCATCTCAGGATTAGAAGCAATTCCAAGTTTTAACCCTCTTTATAACATCGCTACAACATCCTATGTATAACTAAACACATTTTGTGACAGCTTCTACCTAGTTGTCTTAATTCTACCTTTCAGCCACATAATAAACTGAATCATTCTCTATGTTATGTGAAAGCTCTGGGGGCCAGCAGGGGGCACAGTGGTTAAGGTGCTGAATTCCACATGGGTAACTACAGAGTCCCAGACCCAGCAGCTTGAGAATCATGCCAGGAGCATGCGTGTGCATAGCCAAAATCCCAAGAGAAGAAAGAATTGTGGCGTGGGCCTCCCCCTTCGGGGTGATTTCTCACTTGCTCTCTCTTTCTGTCTCTCTGGCAGGCACATACACCCTATGGAAAATATAAAACTAAAAAAATAAGTCTTCACGTATTTGAAGACTAATTTTATTCATACTAAATGTCTTTTTTTGTTGGAGAGGTTTTTGCTATAGGGCACGTGCACTTGCAGAAAGATAGAGACAGAAAGCGGGCGGGATGGCCACACAATCCCTTCTCCTCCACTTTCCTCTCGGGATCTTGGGCATTCGCCACCCATGTGCCCAGTGTGAGTTTAAGCCCCTGGGTCCAGGACTCGAACTGTGGTTGACCACATGGGAGTCCAGCAACACAGCCATTACACTAACTGTTGGTCCCCTAAATGTCTTCTCTAAGCAAATCTTCTCTCAGTTTCTTTAAATCTTCCTGACGTGACATATTTCTAGTTCTTTCATCATCCTGGCTGATGTCCTTGGAAAGACATTAAGAACATCCTTCTTTAACATTTTTTAAAGATATCCATTCTCCTCCATTCTCCTCTTGGGATCTTTGTCACGCACAAACATGTGCCTGCTGTGAGTTTTAAGCTGCCAGGTCTAGGCCTTGAACTGTAGTCAACTACTTAGGAGTCCAGCAATGTAACCATAATGCCATCTGCTGGTCCCAGGAGGTCTGGTTGTTAGTGAAGACAGACTTGTGTTGATACTGAGGTTCATCTGGACTCCCTAAAAAGTTGGATGGCTGACTAGGATTAGTGAGTACTATCTGGTTCTAGAAGACCATGATTTTGTGCTTTAATCAATTAACAAATTATGCCAAGGCACAATGAAAATGATCTAGGTCTGGAACAGCACCAGTTTTTTGGTAAAGTCCTACTTCTTGCCTTTTTCTCATCTTCATCTGCAGCTTTCTTGAATTCATGTTCAAAAGAGCTGGCTAGTTCATTGAAGAGTCCCACCTCCTCACAGTTCTTCAGGAATCTAGTTGGAGTAGGAGTCTGATCTGTAGACATAAAAAGAAAAGACTGTTTTAGTTCTGATCTGAGATTAAAACTTGACAGTATATACAGAATGTATTGTTATTTTTCTATTTGGAGATAGTCTCTATGTTAGGGCATGTGTGTGTGTGTGTGTGTGTTTTAAGAGAGATTTTTTGGAACAGCAGGAAGTAAAGTCTGGTGCTAGGCAACCAGAGGGTGTCTGTGCTGTGTTGCCTCAAGACCAGCAGGGGGAGGACAGAACAGTATTTTGTTGTATGACTATACATGTACCCACCTTTCTCTCTCTGGGTTTACCTCCTTCACAACAAAACAAAACAAAGCAAAACTCATGCAAGTGAAGTTTTGTAAAACCTCCAAATCGGAAAACCAAATACAGTTAGGCAATGTTTCTTTTTAAATGTAATACTTAACAAGAATCTAAAGTGAACAGTTATGAGCGGATGGGTGTTAAAATCTGATCAGGAAAAGAAATTGAGGCTCAGATAGTTGAGTTTGCTTGCCAAAGCTACCAGGTGAGAAATGGTGCCTTGTCTTTCAACGGTCACTGGGATAAAGGTCTGTTACCTTCTAAAGGCATTTCAGGCAAATCCAGGGGCTGGGGAACAAGACAGCAAGATCATGAACTAGAAAAGGAAACTACAAACAATAGAGCTCATTTAGCAGAGACCTGAGCTGAGAGCGAATTCCGGAAACCAGGATATTTGGACTTAGGTTTGCCAGTCAAAATATCCCCACAGGGGCTGTACAAATCTTTCCTCAATATACTGGCTCTGTCCTTGGGAAGAGGAAGGCTCTTGGTAACTCATGGGAACTTTAAAGCAACGTGCATTTTAGATATTCTCTTCCCATCCTGCTTTTCTAGATGTTAGGATCTGTTCTCAGATTTAACTCTATTATGATGGTTTTCCTTGACATACAAGTTACCTAACAGATTCCTCTTATACCCCAAACCAGGTAGACTAAATGACAGAATTATCAGGTTGTTGGGAAAGTGATGTATTTTTCTATATAAAAATGTATCATGACTTTCTTGACAACCCAATAGGATGTTTAATTTATTTGTTGGGGCCAGCAGGTGGTGTGTTGATTAAGGTGCTGGACTCCCACATGGCTGACCGTGATGGTTCAAGTCCTGGACCTGGCGGACTCCCTAAAAAGTTGGATGGCTGACTAGGATTAGTGAGTACTATCTGGTTCTAGAAGACCATGATTTTGTGCTTTAATCAATTAACAAATTATGCCAAGGCACAATGAAAATGATCTAGGTCTGGAACAGCACCAGTTTTTTGGTAAAGTCCTACTTCTTGCCTTTTTCTCATCTTCATCTGCAGCTTTCTTGAATTCATGTTCAAAAGAGCTGGCTAGTTCATTGAAGAGTCCCACCTCCTCACAGTTCTTCAGGAATCTAGTTGGAGTAGGAGTCTGATCTGTAGACATAAAAAGAAAAGACTGTTTTAGTTCTGATCTGAGATTAAAACTTGACAGTATATACAGAATGTATTGTTATTTTTCTATTTGGAGATAGTCTCTATGTTAGGGCATGTGTGTGTGTGTGTGTGTGTTTTAAGAGAGATTTTTTGGAACAGCAGGAAGTAGTCTGGTGCTAGGCAACCAGAGGGTGTCTGTGCTGTGTTGCCTCAAGACCAGCAGGGGGAGGACAGAACAGTATTTTGTTGTATGACTATACATGTACCCACCTTTCTCTCTCTGGGTTTACCTCCTTCACAACAAAACAAAACAAAGCAAAACTCATGCAAGTGAAGTTTTGTAAAACCTCCAAATCGGAAAACCAAATACAGTTAGGCAATGTTTCTTTTTAAATGTAATACTTAACAAGAATCTAAAGTGAACAGTTATGAGCGGATGGGTGTTAAAATCTGATCAGGAAAAGAAATTGAGGCTCAGATAGTTGAGTTTGCTTGCCAAAGCTACCAGGTGAGAAATGGTGCCTTGTCTTTCAACGGTCACTGGGATAAAGGTCTGTTACCTTCTAAAGGCATTTCAGGCAAATCCAGGGGCTGGGGAACAAGACAGCAAGATCATGAACTAGAAAAGGAAACTACAAACAATAGAGCTCATTTAGCAGAGACCTGAGCTGAGAGCGAATTCCGGAAACCAGGATATTTGGACTTAGGTTTGCCAGTCAAAATATCCCCACAGGGGCTGTACAAATCTTTCCTCAATATACTGGCTCTGTCCTTGGGAAGAGGAAGGCTCTTGGTAACTCATGGGAACTTTAAAGCAACGTGCATTTTAGATATTCTCTTCCCATCCTGCTTTTCTAGATGTTAGGATCTGTTCTCAGATTTAACTCTATTATGATGGTTTTCCTTGACATACAAGTTACCTAACAGATTCCTCTTATACCCCAAACCAGGTAGACTAAATGACAGAATTATCAGGTTGTTGGGAAAGTGATGTATTTTTCTATATAAAAATGTATCATGACTTTCTTGACAACCCAATAGGATGTTTAATTTATTTGTTGGGGCCAGCAGGTGGTGTGTTGATTAAGGTGCTGGACTCCCACATGGCTGACCGTGATGGTTCAAGTCCTGGACCTGGCGGCTTGTTTTCTCACTTTTCCTCTCTCTCTCTGTATCTCTCTGGTCAAATTAAAAAACAATAATAATAACAAATAAATAAAGTAACAATAATGATAAATAAATAATTCTCTAAAAATTTATTTATTCCATGCATGACTGAGACAAAAAGAAACACAGATACCACACCTTGTCAGGATCCTGATGCTACAACCCACCCCCAGGTTCAGTCAGCCCAGATCATTTCTTTTTGTTTGTTTATTTTTTTAAGAGAGATTTTTTGCTGTAAGACGTGTGCACTCACAGGAGACACAGAGAGATAGAAAGTGAGAAATCACGCCTCAGGGGGATGGCCACATTGCAATCTCTTCTTCTCCATTCTCCTCTTGGGACCTTGGGCATGCATGCACATGTGCCCGGTGTGAGTTTTAAGCTGCCGGGTCTGGGACTTGAACTGTGGTTGACTACGTGGGAGTCAAGTGACATAACCATACGCCATCTGCTGGTCCCTTGGCCTAGATCATAAGAACATGTGTGCCCAATACAATCAAAGAGGTCTGTGAATGTGAAGGTACAACCTTCCCATGTAAGTCTGCCTTACAGAACTTCACATTTCACACAGCACCACTATCAGCCCCTAAGGGATATTTTAAGGAGTGAGACCTGGGGTTAAAATCATTCTTCTTAGGGACCAGCAGATGGCATAATGGCTATGTCGTTGGACTCCCATGTAGTCGACCACAGTTCGAGTCCTGGACCAGATGGCTTAAACTCATGCCAGGTGCCTGTGTGCGCATGCCCAAGATCCCGAGAGGAGAATGGAGGAGAAGGGATTGTGGCATGGCCATCCCCCCGGGGAGTGACTCCTCACTTTCTGTCTCTCTGTCTTTCTGGCAAGCGCATGCACCCTATAGCAAGACAGCCCAGGCACCCTATAGCAAAAACCCCTCAAAAAAAAAAAAAAAAATCCTCTTAGCTTGATCAACTGAAAATAGTCCAGTGGGATTTTCCATAGAAACTTTTTTTTTTTTAAAACAAAACCTTTTCTGAATCAGAGTGTTTAGAAAGTCACCACTACTTCCCAAAATAGTTGTAAAGGCTCTCTGGCAGCTTTGGTTGGCTAATGATAAAGCCATTTTCCCTCTATCCCTGGGTGAGTAGAGGTAATATCCTTTATGCTTGGAGAGTACTTCAGTAAGGGCACACACAAAATCACAACTCAAGTGGAACAAGAGGGGGCAGTTAAGGGCATGGGTATGGCAGAAGAGGGACTTCTGGATCTCTGATCTGAGACTCATAGAAACTTCTCCCATACACTGCTCTTCATGCTCCTTTCTGGTTTTTATTTTAAATTTTCCCTGAAATAAACCTAATTTTTCTCATCTTCCAGGTGGTCCTCTAACCTTGAACTGGCTCTGGTTCATGAATAGTCTTAAAATATGTAAGAAAACCCTAAGCTTGACCTGATGACGCCTAAGAAATCAATGCATGTTTACGGAATACATCCTGTGTGTTTCAGTGCTACACTCATAACTCGTGTGTGTATTTGGGAAAGAGGAGAGGTAGCAGTATAGGAGCACTGCCCAAATAGAAGACATAGCTGTTGTCCTAGAAAATGAAGAGAATGCTTTTTAGTTCAGGTAATAAAACCAAGACACCCAGACAGCCTCACAGTGTGCAAAAAAATAGATGCCATGTGCAGTGATAAATAAAATTGTTGTAGAAATAAAATAAAAACACACTAGTGACGGAGTAGTCAGGAAAGATTTCAAAGAGTGGGACCTGAAATGGGCCTTAGAGAACAGCTTTAAGTGATAGAGGGAAGAGAACATTTGAAGGATATGTAAAGTAAATAAAGCAGGTAAAGACACCAAGGCAGGGGACCAGTAGATGGCTTAATGGCTACATTGCTGGATTCCCATGTAGTCAACCACAGTTCGAGTCCCAGACCCAGTGGCTTAAACTCATGCCGGGCACATGTGCATGTGTGCCCAAGATCCCGAGAGGAGAATGGAGGAGAAGGGATTGCAGCATGGCCATTCTCCCTGGGGGTGGTGGTGGTGGTGGTGGTGGTGACTTCTCGCTTTCTGTCTCTCTGTCTCTCACTGTCGGGCGAGCGCACGCGCCCTATAGCAAAATAAAACAAAACAAAACAAAACAAAACAAAAAACCCAAAAACAAAAAACACTCTCCCCCCAAAAAAAGACATCGAGGCAGGGTATGGGCACCATTTATGGAGGAGTAGAAAAAGGTATTTCTAGGTCTAAATATAATCATATTAGATATATAAATGATATATAAAGTTGAATGGGTGTGGAGATAGGTTTGGAGAGCTTTAAAATCAAAGTAAAACACCCTAAGAGTAAAATAATAACAGATTTTGGCCAGAAGAACAGAATGCAAAGAAGATTGACTTTTTTTTTTGGAGAGGTTTTTGCTATAAGGCACATGCACTCACCAGAAAGACAGAGAGAGAGAGACAGAAAGCGAGAAATCACCCCCCCACGGGGGATGACCACACTGCAATCCCTTCTCCTCCATTCTCCTCTCGGGATCTTGGGCATACACGCACGCGCGCCCGGCATGAATTGAAGCCACCAGGTCTGGGACTCAAACTGTAGTTGACTACATGGGAGTCCAGCGACATAGCCATTACGCTGACTGCTGGTCCCAAGGAGGTAGATTCAGTTTTTAACAGGAAGATTTGAATGACAGTCAAGGAGACTGTTCAATAACGAATTGGATTTACATGATACACCAGGTCTTAACTGGAGACTGTGAGGATCACCTGGCTAGACAGGATAACTGAGTTACTGTGCAATAATGTGAATACTCCAGACCCAAACTCAGCGAGTAACAAGAAAACATTGTGTCTTCTTAGAACTGTCCTGGACTAACTACTCTCACCACTTTGGGGACTTGGCATAGGGCCTTAGACCCATGTAGAACAACTCTTTGACTATTATAGATAACCTTACGTCAAATGAATCTTTCATAAACTTCTTCTGATTAATTTAACTTAATATTAATTTTCTAAGTATTCAAATTGCCTGTATTATTCATTTGTATTTGTCTATGAATACTACATTTTTTCATGTAGAAGGGATTTTCAGAAAGTTTATGGAAAAACATGTATTATAAAAAAGTTATACATGGATTTCAAAATTTTTTTTAATTCATGAGAGAGTACGTATAAACACAGGAGAGAAAGAGAATGAAAGAGAAAGGAGAAAGGAGGAGGGAGGGAAGGGGATCACTCACGATTTCATGATGCTGTGATCCCCTCCACCCCATTTCCAACCCTCTAGCTCATCAGAGTCTTGGGTGCACATGTGTCTGGCATGTTTTCAGGTTGACATGGAATCTGAACCCATGATCAACCCTGTGGCTTTCAGAACTGTAGTTCAGTATGCTACCACCTATACCACTGAGCCTGGACCTCAAAATGTTTTTGGACTAACATAATTTTTTTTTTTTAAGAGATGTTTGCTATAGGGTGGATGCGCTAGCTCGAGACAGAGGCAGAAGACAGAAACAAAAAAATCACTCCTTGTGGGGATGGCCACACCACAATCCCTTCTCCTCTTGGGATTTTGGGCACACATACACACACACTCAGCGTGAGTTTTAAGCTGCTGGGTCCAGGACTTGAACTGTGGTTTTGACTATGTGGGAGTTCAGCAATGTAACCATTATGCCATCTGTTGGTCCCTGGACTAACATAAATTTTTACATTCCATTTTTTGTTAACTTTTTATAATTTGCTATGGGGTCCATGTGCTCAAGAGAGACAGATGGAGAGAAAGAAAGTGAGAAAGCATCTCCCAGGGGCACAGCCATGCTGCAATTCCTTCTCTTCCATTCTTCTCTTGAGATTTTGGGCACATGCTCACATGCCCAGCATGTTTCTTAAGCCATTGGATCTGGATCGAACCACTCAGTGGGTCATGTGAGATCCAGCCCCCTTAACCTCCACACCATTTGCAGGCCCCCCCATGAACTTTTAAATAAGTGTTTTCATATATATGCTCTGATTTAATTATGTTTTATCCACATATTCATTTATACCCTACCCACTCTTCCCTAAGGCCTCCCCTAGGTATTTGTAAGAATTATCAAATGAAAATGTCCCCACTCATGTCCTTTTCCCATGGGAGACAAATCTACAAGCTCCTAGCAAAGTGCTTGGCACACATAGTAAATATTCAGTAAGTATTTGCTCAATTAATAAGAAATAGGAGCCCTGTAAGGTCAAGGCTCTTTTATCACATACAGAAGTAAGAAGAACTTTTTCCTCTTTTTCTCCATGTTTAGGGTAGCATTTTAGCTAGAAGTACTTATAGAAATAGTATCTTACCTAAGTAATTAACTGATAATCACCAACTAAATACCTTATTGATTAAATATCGAGTTAAGCTTGCTTAGGTTGGGCTAAATCAGAATCTATCATGGTAGCAAAAGAAAAAGCCCAGTTTGGTTTGTACGTTTATTTGTCTAGCTGAAAACAGTGTAACAGAACTGCTATATGATTTGAGAGCAGTTGCTAAGAGTACTCCCTTGAGAATGGCACATGTAAGCAAGACAACATCTAAAACAACTGGTGAGAGGTTCCAGGTCACCCAAATTAGCTTAGAAAAATCCCACTGACTAAATGTCTTGTTTGAGCTTTGGAAATGTGGCCTCGATGGTGTCTGTGAGCTCACAAGGGAAGCTGAATTTACAAAGTGACAATCTGCCAGCTATAGCAAAACTTGACACCCAGTGGAAGAGAAGAAGCCAGGTTGGCTTTTTTTGCCTTCTTTTGTTCACCCCTTCGCTGTGGGTAGGCGTCAGAGGCGTCTTTTGTCTGTAAATCTTCCAAGGTCTTAATAAATAGACAGCAGGGAGGGAATAGAGTGAAAAAACTAAGACAAAACCTTAATGCACCTACCCTCAAAAACCACAGAACACAATCTTATTAAAAACACAGAGTGGAGGGCACAATAGAAACTTGGGAGCTTTCAGTGTTCCTTTTTCCTGATTAAATGCAGATCACATAAGGGCTTTTAATGGGAGAAGGGAAGTACATTTCCCAGTACATCTGGTCCCTGGTATTAATCTTAACTGTCTGGTGATATCAAGGCACGTGGCTTTTGGGGCAGCAAATACCTGCAATGATGACTGAGTCAGTTCTGGCTGGGCCAAATTTCAATGTCATCTCATGCTTGTGTTTATGAACTGCCAGGTGGTCCTCGTTTGTAAATCTCTGAAATGAAACAGAAATAGAGATGTGAAAAAAAAAAAAAAAAAAAGGCAAGCAACCACTGATGCAGTGTCCTTTTATAAATGTCCTACCTATCATCCTGCAGTGAGTGTGGGCCCTGGGACGAGGGACTGGACAGGGAATGGGAATAAGAAAACACTGGAAGTGATAGCAAAAGAGAAGCGATTGAGGAAGAGTGCTAGAAGGCAGGGAGAAGAGGAGGGGGAAGACCACAGTACCAATGGCTTTGTAGTATCAGATCCAAATGAGGGAAGCAGACAGACTGTTGGAGAAGTGGGGTACAGGCAGGAGGCTCAAACAAAACAAAACAAAACAAAAACAAAACAAAACATATTAAGGCAAACTTATAGTGAACAAGGGGAAAACAATTTTTAATAATAATAATAAATAAGAAGGGAAAAGCTGGGCACTCAGTCATCACAAAAAATAGGAAATTCGTAACAGAGCTCTCCATGGCGAGGCTGAATTGGACTATTTTATGAGGGGGCTAACAGGGAGATAAATTATGCAGGATTAGGAGAACCATTTAACTTCCTGGCCCCCACAGTGTTGCAGCAGGCGCCTGCCCGGCTATTTGGCTCAGGGCTTTAATGAGCCAGTTCGGAGCTGTAGAGGACCGAGGCCCAATGGCCAGCAATAATGGCACACACCAGCCCCATCGGCCAAATGCTGTCTCCCCTCATCGGGCAGCCCGCCTGGGCTCCATCGGCCATAAAGGGGCCAGTACAATGCTGCTGGCTATATAATGGTAGAATAAAAATGCATGGAAAAATAAAACCACAAACCCAAACATTTAAGAGTAGGGTGGAGCCTTTAGGCAGGATGAGAGAAGAGAAAAGGAGATGGTATAGAGATTTTATTTGTTTAGGGGTTTGGGTGAAAGGACACTGAAGAGGTGAGGCTATGTCTACCTCAGTTTATGACTAATAAGACAGGGTTACTGGACAATAATTTATGCTCCCACCCCTTCTTTAAAAGGGGGAGGTGAAGGGAACAGATGAACAGCAGTAATTCAAAAGAGTAATACCCTCGAAAGTCCCTTTGAGGCTGCTGGCCATGTTCTTTCATAAAACATGCCTGCGACACAGAACAGCCTGCATGCTGCAGTTTTCCACAGCCTCTTCCCTAGCAAAGCTCTGAAATATATTAGGTCCTCGGGAAAGTCACAATGGATTTTTCAATGGTTTTCTATGCAAAAATGCGTCATGACTTTCCCGATGACCCAATAGTTCTGCTTGCCTTTTTGTTTCTAAAAACAGAGATTGGCTAATTGCTTCTTCTTTTTACTTTCTTCATTAAATACATGCTTCCCACCAAACAGTATAGCTTTTAGCCCTCCTTTTCACAGCTCTTCCTGACTGCAAACCAATGCCCAGGAGTGGGCCCCATCCTAACTCTCACCCAGTCAGGAAAGCAACACTGAACCATTTGGGCTCCCAAGTAGCTTTCCCCCAAATTAACAGTTAAAGCCAACTTAAGATCTAAAATTCTTCCAGGCAAAGCATATAGGCCTGAAGGATAAAGGGAATTTCAATGAAAAGTATGACGAACCAAGAAGTAAAACAATCCAAAGACTGCCTCAGTGGTTTCTGATGTACCTATGAGGTCGTCAGGAAAGTCATGACTTTTTGTTCTTTTCTTATTTATTTATTTATTTTGAGAGGTTTTTGCTATAGGGCGTGTGCGCTCGCCAGACAGACAGAGAGAGACAGAGAGACAGAAAGTGAGAAATAACCCCCCAGGGGGGATGGCCACGCCGCAATTCCTTCTCTTCCATTCTCCTCTTGGGATCTTGGGCACGCACGCACATGCGCCCGGCCTGAGTTTAAGCCACTGGGTCCGGGACACGAACCGCAGTTGACTACATGGGAGTCCAGTGACATAGCCATTACACTAACTGCTGGTCCCAATCATTACTTATTTTTCTATGCAAAAATGCATCATGACTTTCCTGATAAGACAAAATGGAATAAAGGATGAAAAAATTTAGCCAAGAACTTTAGTTTTTTCAATTACTGGTAAACCCCAGGTACCCATTTTGGCAGTTAACAAATTTACTCCCAAGGGGAAAAAGGAGGGGGGAGGGAACAATCTGTTAACCTGGGGTATGATATTTACAGGTTAAACAAGTGTTGTAGAAATGTTGTAGAAGGGTCTGGGATTGTTAGGTAATTGGCAAAAGTAAAAGAGCAGAACCTATTCTACACAGAGAAGAAACATCGCTTTAAGGAGATATGAAGGGAAGAGATGAACAGCAATTCATTCAAAAGAATAATACCCTTGAAAGTTTTTGTCTTAGTTTTTTTCAGCCTATTTCCTCCGTGCTCTCTATTTATTAAGAGTAATAAATTAAAGAGTTGTAAGCTTTCAAAATACTGGGTTGGAAAAGTCATGACATTTTTTCTATAATTTTCTATGGAAAAATGCATCATGACTTTTCTGATGACCCAATATATTGGTAATGTTATAACAATTTCTTTTTTGCCTGGGGGCCAGTAGATGGTGTAGTGGTTACGTTGCTGGACTCCCACATGGCTGACCACGGCTTAAGTCCCAGACCCAGTGGTTTGAAACTCATACCGGGCACACGTGCATGCATGCCCAACATCCTGGGAAGAGGACAGAGAAATGATTACAATGTGGCCACCCTCGTGGGGGTGATTTCTTACTTTTCCTCTCACTGTCTCTGTCTCTCTCTCTCTGGCAGTCATGCACCCGAAGGCAAAAACCTCTTAAAAAAAAACAGGGGCTGGCAAGTGACATGGTGGTTAAGGTGCTAGATTACCAATGGCCGACTGCAGTTCGAGTCCTGGACCTGGCGGCTTGCTTTTTCTTTCTCTCTTTGTCTCTCTCTAGTCAAACGGAATAACAATAAATAAAATTAAGTAAATAACTCTTAACACATATAAACACACAAATTTTCTGTTTGTTTCAGCTTGCTGTAGAGTGTGTATGCTTACAGGAGAAAAAGAAAGTGAGAAATCATCCCCCAGGGAGATGGTCACATCACAGCAATCCCTCCTCCTCCAATCTCCTCTGAAGATTTTGGGTACACACACACACATGTGCCCAGCTTTTTCAAGTCACCAGGTACGGGATTCAAATCATGCAGTCAGACATGTGGGATCCAGCTACCTTAACTTCCCCACCACCAGCTGGCTCCTATTATAATAATCTTTTTTTTAAAAAATATTATGTTTATAGATATTTCAAGAAAATTTCATATATATAGTTTGGAAAATAATTACACAGGGACCAGCAGGTGGCATAATGGTTATATTGCTGGACTCGCACATAGTAGACCATGGTTTGAGTCCTGGACCCAGCAGCTTAAAATTCATGCCAGGCATGTGTGTGCGTGCCCAGGATCCTGAGAGGAGAATGGAGGAGAAGGGATTGAGACGTGGCCATCCCCCCTAGGGGTATTTCTTGCTTTCTTTCTCTCTGGCAAGCATACCTATTTTATAGCAAAATATTCCTCTCTCTAAAAAAAGGAAAAAAATAATAATAATTACACAATACTGTGAATCTAGAGTCAGTTAAGCAAGAAGTCTTCTTCTACTATCAGAAATAAAAAACAGGGAAGCAGCAGTTAGCATAATGGCTATGTCGCTGGACTCCCACATAGTCAACCACGGTTCGTGTCCCGGACCCGGTGGCTTAAAACTCATGCCGGGCGCGTGTGCGTGCGTGCCCAAGATCCCGAGAGGAGAATGGAGGAGAAGGGACTGCGGCGTGACCATCCCCCCGGGGGGGTGATTTCTCGCTTTCTGTCTCTATGTCTCTCTCTTGTCTGTCTGGCAAGCGCACACGCCCTATAGCGAAAAATCTCTCCAAAAAAAAAAATAAAAAAAATAAAAAGTGCACTGGAAAGAGACTTAAAATCTCCATCATGTTTTGCTCTGGTTAAGATTGTTTAGTATTTTAGGGGCTGGCAGGTGGTGTGGTAGTTAAGCCACTGGACTCACATGGCTGGCTGTGGTTCAAGTCCTGGACCAGGTGGCTTGAAAATCACGCCAACCCAGCTGCTTAAAACTCACGCCGAGTGCATGTGCCTGCGTGTCCAAGATCCCGAGAAGAGAATGGAGAAAGGATTGTGGCATGGCCATCCCCCCCAGGTGGTGATTTCTTGCTTTCTGTCTCTCTCTTTCTGGCAAGCACATGAGCCCTATAGCAAAAACCTCTCCAAAAAACAAAGACTGTTTAGTATTGAGTTATCAGGAAAGTCATGACACATTTTTGCACAGAAAAATATGACATGACTTTCCTGATATCCTAATATTTTAAAAGGCAACTTGCCCCTTCAGCTAAAATTTTACAGTTGTAACTTATCTCTTCTAGCCTATAGTTCTTGTTCTTCTTTGCTGTACCGCCCCCCCCAATCCATGGTATTCCACGTCTATTTATTTATCCTAAATCAAAAGCTGGCCTGCCAAGCTGCAGTAGACACTGCTATTCTGCAGGGTGAGGCCACATGGGAGGCCCAGGTTAGATTTCTGGCCCACCCTAAAAGGCAGGTGTGGTGGTATACATCAGCAGTCCCAGCTACTAGGCAGGCTGAGGCAAAAGGATAGAGACATAGTGAGACCCTGCCTTAAAAAAAGAAGAAAAGAAAGGCTGGAACCTGGAGAGAACTGAAGGAGGCTAAAAGGATCTCCACCCATCAGTTTCTCAAAAGGATTTGATACATTCAAACACAGACAGGAAAAAATAAATTACATTTTTACTTTATTGAATCTCTAACTGAAATTTAGCACTTACTTCCTGAAAAAAATAACACAGATTTTCATATCACAATACAGTTATTATGAGACATCTTTTTAAAATACTTTATTTTATTTATTATTATTATAATTCATTAGAGAGAGACACACAGAGAAAAGGAGAGAGGGAAAGTGAGAAAGTAAGCCAGTAGGTCTAGCACTCAAACTGCAGTTGGCCTTGTGGGAATCCAGAACCTTAAATAGCACGCCACCAGCTGG